CTTTTTGGATGTTGAAAGTAAAACATACCCACCTTCAAAGCTAGCAGTGTAAATTGAAGTCTATAGTTCAGTCAGTGTACTGGTGAATTATCCATATCCCTCAAGGATGGAGTGGATAAAATGTTATATTTGTATTTGTCTTGAGAGGAATGTCAAGAATTGCACTGCTTATTGTCTATGAACGTGCTTTTCTGGAGGGCAGCTGGCACACGTGTTCTGCTCTTTGTGTGCTCTGGAGAGATGTTTGATTTCTTATGAAAATGGTATATGTGCCCCAGGAGATAGACAATCAAATTTGTTATTTTTAGGGAGTAATCCTCGCTTCCACTACCCCGCTTCCTAGGGTCATAGCACAGCCGCACCACCCTGTCCCATGGCAGCGAGAAGATAGGTGCTGAATAATTGCACAGGAATACCATGCAACCCAGCTGAATGATGAAGAGCATGCCTTAGGAGTCTGTCTCTCTTGTTTCAGAGTAACAGCCGTGTTAGTCTGTATTTGCAAAATATTTGAGCTTATGCTCAAATAAATTGGTTAGTCTCTAAGGTGCCACAAGTACTCCTTTTCTTTTTGTCTCTCTTGTGCTCTCTCTGTAGGATTATGTAAGACAAGGTTTAGGCAGGCCAAGGAGTTGCTATTAGGTGGGTGCACAACTGGGTGAAAGAAAGTACTCAAAGAGTACTTATCAATTATTTACTGTCAAATGGGGAGTCTAGTGCTGTCTCCCATGGGTCAGTCCTCAGTACAGTACTATTAAATATTTTCATTAATGACTTGGATAATGGAGTAGAGAGTATGCTTATAAAATTTGCAGATGACTCCAAGCTGGGAGGTGTTGCAAGAACTTTGGAGGACAGAATTAGAATTCAAAACAACCTTGACTAAGAATTGGTCTGAACTCAACAAGATGAAATTCAATAAAGTGCAAAGTACCTCACTTTAGAAGGAAAAATCAAATCCCCAACTACAAAATTGGGAATAACTGGCTAGGTGGTAGTACTGCTGAAAAAGATCTGGGCCTTAAAGTGGATCACAAGTGAATATGAGTTAACAATGTGATGCAGTTGTAAAAAAGGCTAATATCATTCTGGGGTATATTAACACGAATGTTGCATGTAAGACATGGGAGATACTCTCTACTTGGCACTCTCTACTTGGCACTGATAAGGCCTCAGCTGGAGTACTGCATCCAATTCTGGTGCCACACTTTAGGAAAGATGTGGACAAAGTGGAGAGAGTCCAAAGGAGAGCAACACACATTATAAAAGGTTTAGAAAACCTTACCTATGAAGAAAGGTTAAAAAAAAACCTGGACATGTTTAGTGTTGAGAAAACAAGAATGAGGGGGGACCTGATGATAGTCTTCAGATATGTTAAGGGGTGTTATAAAGAGGATTGTGATCCGTTCTCCATGTCCACTGAAGGTAGGACAAGAAGTAATGGGCTTAATCTGCAGTAAGGAAGCTTTAGGTTAGATATTAGGAAATACTTTCTAACTATAAAGGTTTTTAAGCTTTCAAATAGGCTTCTGAGGGACGCTGTGGAAACCCCATCACTGGAGGTTTTTAAGAATAGGTTGCAAAAATGCCTGTCTTGGATGGTCAAGGTTTATTTGGTCCTGCCTTAGCACAGGGAGCTCGACTAGATGACCTCTTGAGGTCCCTTTCAGACCTACATTTCTTTGATTCTATGGGCTTGGCCAGTGAGATCACAAATTACACAGATACGTTGGCCCCCAAATTTTTATTTATTTATTTTGAATCTCTTGGCTACCTCTGCAGTTCCTTAGTTACAGGCTTGGTCTACGCTTAAAAGTTGCATCAGCATAGTTACGTTGGTGAGGAGTGGAGAAAAAAACACACCCCTGACTGGCACAGCTGTGCCAACAAAAATCCCAGTGAAGATGCAGCTATGCCAATGGAAGAGTGCTGCTGTTGATATAGCTAATGCCATTCAGGCACCTGCAGAAAAACTCCTGTGTGTACTGTGTTTACACTAGAGGCAGTGGTGGCATAGCTATGCCAACATCAGCTCTGTAGTATAAACATAGTCATACTGTTGGCTGTAGATCAGTTGCATGGGTATTTGGTATATGGGTATTTCACACCATAGTCCCAAGATGTGGGCGGGGGGGGGTAAATTCTATTTCTCCAACCTCAGATCACATCACCAGGTAGAAAACCATTTTACTCAGGCTTTGAGCAGCTGATGTGAACTTTATCTGTGATGAATCATTCAGTGTTTTAAAGACCAAACATTCTCTAGAACCATAAAAATAGGGTATTAAATTTACTTAGGCTATGTCTACATTTTGAGCTGGGGTGTAATTTCCAGCTTAAGGACACATACCTGCACTAGCTCTGATGGAGTTACCACGCTAACACTAGAAGTGCATTCGTGGGAGTGCAAGTGGTGGGAGGGGTTAGCCACCCAAGTACATACCTAGCGTCTCAGACATGATCATACTGGGAGCCGCTAGCCCCTCTCACACTGCTTCGGCTACATTCTAATTTTAGCGTACTAGCTTGATCAGAGCTATCATGGGTATGTCTCCTCAAACTGGAAGTTACACCTTCAGCTTGAAGTATAGACATACCTGTAGATTGTAAGCCCGTGAGGCAAGGACTGTCTTTTTGTTCTGTGTTTGTACAATGCGTAGCTAGCACAAACAGATCCTCGTCCATGACTAAGACTCCTCAGTGCTATCGCAATACAGATATTTACTTACAGTAATAATAATATCATTTCTTATATTGTTCTTTGGCTGAAACCCAGAAGTATTTAAGGGTTAACATTGTTGCTCAATCAGAAAGAATGTTTGGCAATAAGAAGAAGCCTGGATTAATGATAGAAAAGAATTCTTAGCATTTTATAGCAGTGGGTATTTGAGAGGAGACATGGCTAATGATCAACTAAAAAGATATTTGCAGCTGTGGTGTTACCTCTGCTCATATAATACTAACATTAATCAAGCTTTTCCATGCAGCTTTGCAGTTCATTCCATTTTTCACTCTGTCCTGCGTATAAAAAGAGAGCTCATCTCCTAATGTATTGTGCCAAAGATCATAGCTCTGTGTCGCAGAAAACCATCAAACTTTATTGATTTCTAAAAACTGCATTTTTCTGTGCTGTGAATCAAACCTGAACGGCAATTCTGTAACAAAAATAGCTTTACCTTAAAGAAAAACTTTCCCTGTTATTTGTTTCCACCCAATAGTCTAAACATCCACAGGGTGTGAAACACATATCACCATGAATTAACTGGGAACATATTTTATTGAAGTTTTGAATGACAGCAAAGTGGGTATTTCTAAGGCTAGTTCTGGAGTAGGCCATCTTGCCGAAAGACAATGGCAGTGTGGAAGGCCAATGAAATCCTCGAAACCCATGGCCTAGCTGTTTTAGGATTGGCTTAGCAGTTAGGTGAAAAATTTTTATAGTCACAAAATAAACATTTTGTGTATTAGGTGTTTTAAAGATTGTTAAACTGCTCTAAATAATGATATCCAGTGAGTCTCACTTTCTCATCAAATACTGATATTCTAAATTCCTCAGATAAATAAATAAATAACCTGAGGTGTAACTTTTGGAAACAGTACCCTTGTAACCTTTGTTTAAATGATCCTCTGCCCTTGTTGCATGATGTTATCACCTACCAGCTCATGCCGTATATAATTATGGGCCCAGTCCTGCACATCCTTGCTCTCGGACATAGTGACTGAAATCTGTGGGGCTAATCATGGTAGTAAAGTTAAGCATGTGCCCATGTTTTCACAGGATCAGAATTATAGACCTGGATTGTCAAAGGTGTTTAGGCACCTAAAGGTGGGGCTAGACATCTAGTGGGATTTTCAAAAGCACCTAGGTACCTAACACCTGTTGAAATCCCTTGTGGTTCTACTCAGAGTAAGCAGAATGCACCCAAACAGCAGAGATAACACTGTGCTGCAGAAGCCTGTCACCAGATCAGGAGTGGACAGCAGTGGCATACGAACATGAGGTTCAAACCTCGAACACACTTGTAGCCCTGTCCTTACCTACCTCTGACAGATCTTTTTTACACTTTATCAATTCTTTTACAGCTTGTCATGCCAATAGAGTCTTGTTGAACTAAATGAGCCTGAGCTCAGATCATTGACTTTCTTATTCTCTCTGTAAGGTGCTGTGCACACCTCTGGCACCATAAAGAAAAGTTAAATAAGGATAGTACAATTCTTGCTCTTCTTTTTCTTTTCTTTTACTACTTTAATGTGTTTTTTTTTAAAGTGCAATATGTTTATGCAGTAAAATATGTACCAATTTAAATCCCAGGTTAGAAGTTGAGAGGGCTCTCAATATTATATGTTCAATACAGATCTTAAAATTTTTTAAAATATATAATATATAGAGCAAATCTTAATTTTCAAACCAAAGGATTAAAAAGAAAACAAATTAAAATATTGTTACCTTTCTAAAACAGAGAGGGGACAAACTCGCTGGTTTAATATGCTTTTAAATAGACCTTGTTGGCAAAATTCCTTTACTTTTCTCTTAAATGCAGGGAGGCTGATTAAATAGACACTGAATTTTTTACAATTTATTTCGTAAACACCTGAAATTTAAGGATTATGAAGCAAGGGATGATTCCTTCTTAGTGTTACAAATGTGATATATTATAAAAGTCTTTCAGGCAGTCATGAGATTGCTCTGTTTAAGCAAAACATATGTTATAAAGCGTGGCTTTATTGCTTCATAATGTATTTCAAAGGGGTTAGTGCAACAATGCTGGTTAGTACTAACCATCAGACAGAAAATATTGTGAATGTGGAATCACTGCTCGATGTGCACACAAGTAACATGTAGCCTATTGATTTTAAGCTTCAGAGGGGTAGCTGTGTTAGTCTGCATCCGACGAAGTGGGTATTCACCTACGAATGCTCATGCTCCAATATGTCTGTTAGTCTATAAGGTGCCACAGGACTCTTTGCCCCTATTGATTTTGAGGGTTTTTCTTTTTTAGATAGTGATTTCCCGTTCAGAAGCTACTCCACCACATGTGAATTTTCCTCTGGACTCCCACCCAGTCTCCCCACAAGTTATTATTCACCATTCATTAGTAGCAGATGGCTATACTCTGGTTGTCACCGGAATGAAGGTGAGTGGTTCATAATCTAATCACGCTTTGTATTATGTAAACCTACATTCATAGTATCAGCTTTACATAAGAGTGGTTAGTCAGTACAGTATTCTGAGTTCTCATAACATGCAACTTTTGCATCCTTTCCAGTGTCTTGGGTATGTTGTTTGTTTCCTCAAACGCTTTTTTTTTTTTCTATTAAACCAACAAGTAAATTAACATTGAGAAATGTGCAAATAATGTGAGAATTGTGATAGAAACCAACAAAAAGCCAGGAAATGCAAATTTAAGGCTGACACCCTGTCCTTAATTCAAGCTCTTGTAAAGAAAAATACACAATGGCTTGAGTAAAAAATAGTGTTTAGAATTTCCTGGTCTTTGTAGATTGGTGTTGTAACATTATAACACTATTTAAATGTGGGGGGGAGTTGTGGGTGTTTAAAACCATGGTCACAATTCATATTAAGATTACATTTAGCAATAGTTTGTCAAAGGTTAATGAATGATTGATTAATAGATGATATAAGTATGTTACAGGCATGAGTATTATGTGTTATAAATGGTTGAAAGCACATTGGTAGAAGATATTATAGATGATTATAAGCCATGGTTATAGGCAACCTCTTGACCTGTTGAATTCTCTAACAATCTATAAGAATTGATTAACCATTTATTGAAATATCTATTAATCATTTACTAATCCTTTAAGAATTAGATATAAATGTAACCTTAAAACAAAGTATGATCAAAATAGGCTTAAATGTGGCATGGAAATATGGTGAAGTAACTGTATATTAATTAAAGTCATAAAATGAAAACCACTTGCAGAGCATCTTTGCTCTAAAGCTCTTAACATGGGTTACAGATAACAAGTAATCTTCACAACATACCTGTGAAGTAGGTATTATGTCCATTTTACAAATGAGTAAACTGATTTACACTGACTGATATTTCAAGTGAGTTAATGCAGAGCTGGGAGAAGAAACCAGGTGTTCTCCTGATACTCTGTCCAAGTTCTAATCACAAGATAGTAACCCCTCTTTGTAAGCAACAGCTGTTTATTGTGACTATAGATATTATCAGTATGGCTTTAGGGTTTAAGAGTGAATTTAGGAATGTGCCAATTAAATTATTTATCAGATCTTCTAATTACTGAACTAAACTACAGTAGAGGAGTAATTTTCACATTTGAAACCAGAGTAACATCATTATACTTTGCATAAATTAGGAGTTTCTCCTTGCTAGTAAAGATATTTTTGTAAAGATCTGTGTATAATTCTCTTATCAATAGATAACCAAGATTCCGTTGAATGGACCAGGCTGTGATCACTTTAAGTCCTGCAGTCAGTGTCTTTCAGCACCTCCTTTCATGCAGTGTGGCTGGTGTAGCGATCAGTGTGTGAGGTCCTGGGAGCATGTTAAAAGGATGTGGACGCAGGAGACATGTTTGCCGAGAGTTTATGAGGTAAAAATTTTTTTCCCCCAAAATTTATCTCAGAGGTAGGACTGCTATCTCAGAGGTAGGACGCTATTTCAAGCATACCTGTCCAACAGAATGTACCTCAGGCCTCTTGAGCCTTCTGAGCCCTAGAAGTCTGCAGATGCTAGCTTTTCAGCTAGCCGGCCTAGGCAGTAAAAAGGGCAAGCTGCCTTTTCCCCTTAAAAAATCTCAGAACTTTTCAAGACCAGGAGCAGAGCTGTCTGTGATGAAGAGAGTTTGTGTTCATGTAACTGTTTATTCCTGTTATTCTGCATTCCAACAGTATCAGGATTGGTGGTGTCATCGCATTAGGATCTGTATAAACACATAGGAAGGCATGGCCCTGCCCTAAAGAGCTTACAGTGTATGAACGCAAATTACACATGGATGCTGAGGGGAGAGGACTACAACCAAATAGATACCATTTTAATATACATTTTTTCTCTTTTTTTTAAATTATGATAAATAAAGTTTCTGCTGTCTTTACTTTCCCCTCAGTGTAATTAGCCTTAACGGGCTGCTGGCCTCATGTAAATAAACACCCCACATTCTGTGCTCCACAGCTCTCCCATTCTGGATTTGTCCCTCTGCTGGGGTCTGTGCAAGAAGCCCTCGTCTTCAGTAACTACCATTTACTGTCTTAAATGTGGAACTGGGGCAGGGTTTCAGCTGATCTGTTTGTGATTTTAAAAAAGGAAATTCCCTTCACCTGGTGGGGAGAAGGAGGGCAAGTCACCTCTCAAAGCCTTCCTCATAGGGAGAATGGGTAAGAAGAAGCTTCCTGCTCACAGCTGCTGGAGATGATGTGGAGGAGTTCCCCATCCCATCTCATATTTTGATGGATGGCTCTGTCTCTTCTTCCCTCCCACCACCTCTGCCACTTTTTGGTTTGTGGCACTGATGGGAGAGAAAGGGAACATCTTTAGGCCAGGTGCTTTTTCAAACATCTCCCCAGCCTGGACAGTTTCTTGAGTGTCATTCCCATAGGCCTGGTTGTCATATGCATGGCCCTGGGGCAGGGCAGAGTCTGTGGCTCTGTCCGTGGGAAAAAGGACAGTTGAAGGCTGCTTTCAGTTGTAGAAGACCCCATAAATGTTAAAAAGTACACAAGAGCAAAATTACACTGATAATCAAAGAGCCCACTAGCTCGTTGCTGTTTTCATTTAGCTATGGTTAAGACAAGATTTGTACTGGCTGACTGTGCATTTAACCAAGTCATTTTGTGTTAAGTGTGACACAATTATGAAGGCCTTGTTTCATGGAGCAGTTAATACACCAGTAAATGGAGCGGAGAACAAGCATAAAACCTTCTTATAGCATTTATAGCCATTATTTTTACTGATGTATACAGTGTTAAATTCTTATTCCTTTTGCACATCTGAACTCATAAATAGGGATGAAACTTAGAAACTTGAAAGACTCAGCACAAAGAGAGAGACACTTTTTAAAATAAATAATATTTCACTAAACCCAGAGGTGGATGATTCACATGCTGTACCTGCTTAAACATAATATCCAAGCAAAACTGCTGAAAGAAGTTTGAGTTTTGTTAATAACCTATAAAAAACATTTTAAATGGTGGTTTTTCTTTTCTACATTTATGTTTCAAATACGAAGTCACTCTGGGGGTAAAGTAGGCAAAACCCAATCAACAAACAATGAAATTTTAATGGGAACCAAATCTACAAAAGTCTTATTTATCTTTATATTAGGATTGTGAATACCAAAATGATTTTGTTACTGCTTCTCCACTGTCTTGTGCAGTCATTTACATCTGTGCAAAGGTCTGTAAAATAAGAATGGGAATGTTTTACACTCACTTTGTACAAGTGCACAACATTCTATGGCAGGAGTGGGCAAACTTTTTGGCCCAAGGGCCACATTGGGGTTGCGAAACAGTATAGAGGGCCAGGTAGGGAAGGCTGTGCCTCCCCAAACGGCCTGGCCCCTGCCCCCTATCCACCCCCTAACTGCCCCCCGCAGAACCCCTGACCCATCCAACCCCCCCTGCTCCTTGTCTCCTGACCGCCCCTCCAGGACCCCACACCCTATCCAAACCCCCCTGCTTCCTGTCCCCTGACTGCCCCAACCCCTATCCACACCCCCACCCCCTGACAAACCCCCTGGGACCCCCGACCCATCCATCCCTCCCCCACTCCTTCTCCCCTGACCACCCCCTTCCAGGACCCCCGTCCCTAACTGCCCCCCAGGACCCCACCCCTTATCCAACTCCCCCTGCTCCCTGGTCCTCCCTGAACCCCAGGACCCCACCCCCTATCCAACCCCCGCTGCTCCCTGGCTCCTGACCACCCCCACCAAACCTCCACCCCATCCAACCGCCCCCTGTCCCCTGACTGCCCCCCGGGACCTCCTGCCCTCCCCCTGTCCCCTTACCCTTACCAGGCTGCTCAGAGCAGCAGGACAGGCTCATTTGAAAGCCTGTGAGGTGGGCAGGCGCAAGCCGCACTGCCCACGCAGCGTCATAATTGCAGGGGAAGGGGAACAGCGGAGGAGGGGCCAGGGGCTAGCCTCCTCGGCCAGGAGCTCAGGGGCCAGGCAAGACAGTCCCGCGGGCCGTAGTTTGCCCACCCCATTCTATGGCCTGTGTTATACAGTCCAGACTAGATGATCTAATGATCCTTCTGGCCTTAAAATCTATGAATTTGTGAATCACACATGTACATGGGTGCATGACACTGGACACAAGGCAGTAGAGAATCAAGCCCAGAGAGTCTCCATTGCATCATAATTAAATACATACATATGATGTTTCTACAAGACCAAACTGTTCAAAGCTATATAACATAGCTTATTTTGTGTGTAGGGACTGATTTTCAGATATCCTGAGCACATACATTGACTTCAATCAGAGTTGAGTGTACTGAGCCATTCTTAAAACCTGTCCTGTAGAGCCCAGTTCTGCAATCCTTATATTGAGTAGTGCTGACTCATGAGGGTAATCCCTTTAAGTTCAATGCAATGATTCCTCTCAATAAAGTATTTCAGTACAAGTGGGGATTGCACAATTGGACCCCTAGAACTTTAAAGAGAGCAAGATCTCATAAGTTTTTTCATGCTTATTTATAATTTAGTGCCCTGTGTTCAAATGTGTGTGTGTGTATATATATTTTAAATTTCAGTGACTATGTGGCAGTGATTGATCTTCAAAGTGAGTCTCCTGAAGGTTTACAGCATGCACAAGTTTGTAAAACTTGTTTCTAGAAGGCTTGGAAGGAAAATAATGCAGCTAAGTGCTTAGTTCCCTGTGGATTGCTAGCTGTTAAGGCAAATTTCTTGCTTTGCTTGACCATGACATTTAACATTATTATTGAAAAAATTATTTTAAACAGATTATTAATCTTTTTCGGTTCTATCTTTAAACCCATGTGCATAAAATACAAGAGCCAAGCATGTTTTGTTCCTAACAAATGGAGGAAGCCTGCTTTGCATGATGTTTGACATTCAATCCTAAAATCCCACAAAAAGTAAGCAAGATTTCAGGGAGGCAGAGGGTTTAAATATGTTCTGTGATATCTTTCACCTGAAGCAGACGCAAGAGATGCTTTGAGGGCCTGATCCAAAGCCCACTGAAGTAAATGGTTGACGTCAGTGGGATTTGGATCAGGGTCTGAAAAAATCGTTCCCAGTATATTCCATTTTTTATATTCCAGCGTTTTATTCCATGAAAAATCTACTAGGGGATTTTCTCCCTGTAAGCGAGAAAGAAAGGAGCATTGTAGATCTCCCAGTTGTTTCCCCCTTGCTTTAAATATCGAAGATCTTTACTTGGAGTTTTGGGTCACAGTGACCATTCTCCCAACTGGAGAGGTCTCAGCGGGGTTCTTGCACTCCAAACTGCTTCTTTCCAAACATTCTCTAAATGGTAAAAATAGACGGAATCCCTCCATCGTGCCATATAGAAAAACACAGCTAGCTGTTGGTGAGACAAACAACTCCAGTTCTCACAGACAGGGTTTCTTTGAACACTCAACTGTTTGGCACAGTATACCTATCAAAATGTTTTGCAATTATTGCTTATGCCAACAAATAAGTGTGTTTTCTCAGCCTGGACAGACAGTGCTAAATCAAATCTGGGAGTCTTGGATGGGTCTCATCAGAGATAACTTGGTAATGGAACAAATTGCAATGCTCCATTTGTGGGATTCAGGTCACTGTGGCATGTGAACTGCACAGGAGAAAAAAATAGGATTGTGTCCAATCTTGCTTGTTTACTGTGTATAAAGAAGCCCTGAGAGGTTTTGTTGTTGTTTTTAAATAGGGTGGCTTTTTATCTTAGAAATATCAGGAATGTCAGGCCTTTTGTTCCCTGTTTAATAGGAGGACTCATTCGAGGTTTCAGATGTGCATTGTGAGCTTTCTTGTCCCTTAATTGAAAGGATGGAGCTGTTGAATCTTTAACATTTTTTCTTCCAACAGTTTATAGGGCATTTGAAGTTAAACAAGGTGGCTGTTAAAACCAAGTAAAAAAAAAACAGAGTTTTAAACTTTCTTAATAAAAATCACTTCTGCTCTCATTTAAGGCCTGATCCAAAGCCCAGGAAAGATGATGGATAGACCGCCTTTGACTTCAAAGGGCTTTGGATCAAGCCGTGAATTGGGTTTCATTGCTGTTATCTGTGATGTTTTCTTACTCCTACTAGTTCTTCACTCGTTCCATAAATTCTTCTAATTAAAACAGGTAGACAGGTCCTGAGTTTCAGACTGTTTAGAACTGTTTGTTTTTTGTTTACTTTTATTAACACCTAATTAATGCAAATGCACTATGAAGAGGTTGCAGAAAAGACCTGTTCGTTAAACACCCTTCAGAAGGCTTACAATTCAGTTTCTGTAAGTCCTCCAAGAAAAAGTCTGGAAAACAAGGCTGGACTCTTTTGATATATTTAAGGTACAAAACAAACAATAAAAATAAATAAATGAATTAAAGCTCATTGCAGGCCTTTTTATTCAATATAAAAAACACAAAAGATCAGAAAGTGTTTTTTATCCTTTAATATCCACTTCTAAAACTTACCTTTTAAGCTTGTTTTGCAGGATGTAATGGCTAGATTTGATATCCCTTGATTCATGTCATCCCCCAGCATACATTATATGGCTGATGTCACACCCTACCTTTGAGGAATAAGGCCATTTAAGAGGGGTCAGGTAAGTCCCTTCGCTTACAATATTGCATAGTTTTGTGAAGTTTGCTTTTAATTTCCTTATTTGATAGCTGACTGGCTACAAATGGGGATATTCAAATGGTACGGACCTGTGCATTATTGTTCAGACAATGGGATTTACCTCACCCCGACAAAACAATTTCATTCCCTAGTAGGGCTCCATGGTGAGTGTTACCCCAAAGGGGTAACACTCAGTGCACGCTGAGTTACATGGAGCAGGGGCAATGATCCAAAGTCAGTCTCAACTTTGGGGACCTAGAAACAGAAAACAAATAAGGAAAATGTAACTCTGAGAACCAGTGAACACAAACCCATAATGGCCTAGTGCCCCGTGCTGTAGAAGGTGTAATACTGGCTGTAGTATAATGTGCTGAGTGGCTATGTGGGCATCTCTGTTTTATTCTAACTCCATTCCCCCACCCCTTGGATAGGTCCCCTGTGTTTTGCTCAGTCACAGCCTGATCCAAAGCCTGGTGAAGTCAATGGAAAGACTCCCACTGCTTTCAATGAGCTTCTTCTGGTTTTTGATGACAGTAGTAAATTTCACTGTATAGAATATATGATAGAATTCCTGTGAAGTATTTCTCAACAGCTTTTTACCTACAGTTTCATTTGTGAGATTCTTCATGTATAGCTACTAGGAGAGTTGAAAGGAAATGAGTCTGTCTTACTGGATTTTAGATGAAATAATAGCCATGTAGTTCTTAAGCAGTTTTCTTTCAGCTTGAGAGTGCAGAAGTAGAATTTATGAAAGGCACAATTGTATTGAATTTTAAGGGCAAATGTGCTATCTCTAGGAGCATTAAGCCAAAGACATTTAAGTACTATGATCACAAGTGTAAGTTAAGTCTGTTGATTATCTGGTAGTGACTGGAATGTTTGCAAACTTAGGCAGTATTGTTAAAAGCCCACATCAACCCTAAACCCCCGTGTCTTTTAGATTTTTATTGGCAGTGCTTTGCTGAATACCTTAACTGAGGTTTGTACAACTTCTATAGTGTTCCTATGTTTTTCCCACCATTGTTCTATTTTACAACACAATTTACAATATACAGAAAAAAAGCATTTCCTTTCTAGATTGTCAGTATGTTGCTGAGAGGTAGTTTATTTTTAACTCAGAATTAGAAGTAACCAAATGTAACAGATTTTAGTCAAAGAATAGTAGAAGTCTTATTAACTTTGTAACTGCCAAAGCAATATCTGATTAAGATGTCTTTGAAGTTGCTCCATTATGAACCTGCCCTTTCACCAAGCTAACAAAAAAGTTACATGGTCATTTTTGGACTCTTTTTTTGTTCGGCATCCAGCTCGTAATAAAATACATACATTATATGTTTAACATACCAGAAATGGGACGTAAAAGACAAGATCAGGAGGATTAAAAAGGCTATTACAGTGCACAGCTTGTTCAGTGCCCCTAAACACTATCCCTCAAAGCTTTCTAGCAAAGGTTTTGTTATTTATTGCTACTGTCTGAGGAAGCCCATAATGTGATGAATGAAAGGTGATGAACAATTAAGATAAATGGTAGGATACCGTCTACCAGAAGAAGTGCTTCTATAAACCTATTCTCCTCCTTTGCACATTCTGTAAAATTCATCTGAAGTTCTAGCAAAACTAATACAACAGTATATTTTTTTCTTATAGATTGTCCCAAGGAGCGCTCCATTAGAAGGCGGAACAACACTTACAGTGTGTGGCTGGGACTTTGGATTCAGCAAAAATAATCGATTCGACTTAAAAAATACAACAGTTCTTATTGGAGGAAAGCCTTGTACTCTGGAAGTAAAAGTTAGCAACAAAAACAAGTAAGATACTTAAAATGTCCTGCATAGTAAATCCCTTAGAGTCTTCACTTGCTGGATTCAGAGTAGCAGCCGTGTTAGTCTGTATCCGCAAAAAGAAAAGGAGTACTCGTGGCACCTTAGAGACTAACAAATTTATTTGAGCATAAGCTTTCGTGAGCTACAGCTCACTTCATTGGATGCATTCAGTGGAAAATACAGTGGGGAGATATTATATACACAGAGAACATGAAACAATGGGTGTTACCATACACAGTGTAACAAGAGTGATCAGGTAAGGTGAGCTATTACCAGCAGGAGAGCGGGGGGCGGGGAAACCTTTTGTAGTGATAATCAAGGTAGGCCATTTCCAGCAGTTGACAAGAACGTGTGAGGAACAGTGTGTGTGTGGGGGGGGGATAAACGTGGGAAAATAGTTTTACTTTGTATAATGACACATCTACTCCCAGCCTTTATTCAAGCCTAAGTTAATTGTATCCAGTTTGCAAATTAATTCCCATTCAGCAGTCTCTTGTTGGAGTCTGTTTTTGAAGTTTTTTTGTTGAAGAATTGCCACTTTCAGGTCTGTAATCGAGTGACCAAAGAGTTTGAAGTGTTCTCCGACTGGTTTTTGAATGTTATAATTCTTGATTTCACATTTGGGGACAATGTATACCTTCAAATCAGCGGCACTGCTATGGGTACCCGCATGGCCCCACAGTATGCTAACATTTTTATGGCTGACTTAGAGCAACGCTTCCTCAGCTCTCATCCCCTAATGCCCCTACTCTACTTGCACTACACTGATGACATCTTCATCATCTGGACCCATGGAAAAGAAGCCCTTGAGGAATTCCACCGTGATTTCAACAATTTCCATCCCACCATCAACCTCAGCCTGGACCAGTCCACACAAGAGATCCATTTCCTGGACACTACGGTGCTAATAAGTGATGGTCACATAAACACCACCCTATACCGGAAACCTACTGACAGCTGTGCTTACCTACATGCCTCCAGCTTTCATCCAGACCACACCACATGATCCATTGTCTACAGCCAAGCTCTATGATACAACCGCATTTGCTCCAACCCCTCAGACAGAGACAAACACCTACAAGATCTCTATCAAGCGTTCTTAGAACTACAATACCCACCTGCTGAAGTGAAGAAACAGATTGACAGAGCCAGAAGAGTATCCAGAAGTTACCTACCACAGGACAGGCCCAACAAAGAAAATAACAGAACGCCACTAGGCATCACCTTCAGCCCCCAACTAAAACCTCTCCAACGCATCATCAAGGATCTACAACCTATCCTGAAGGACAACCCATCCCTCTCACAGATCTTGGGAGACAGGCCAGTCCTTGCTTACAGACAGCCCCCCAGACTGAAGCAAATACTCACCAGCAACCACACACCACACAACAGAACCACTAACCCAGGAACCTATCCTTGCAACAAAGCCCGTTGCCAACTGTGTCCACATATCTATTTGGGGGACACCATCATAGGGCCTAATCACATCAGCCACACTATCAGAGGCTCGTTCACCTGCGCGTCTACAAATGTGATATATGCCATCATGTGCCAGCAATGCCCCTCTGCCATGTACATTGGCCAAACTGGACAGTCTCTATGTAAAAGAATAAATGGACACAAATCAGACGTCAAGAATTATAACATTCAAAAACCAGTCAGAGAACACTTCAATCTCTTTGGTCACTTGATTACAGACCTAAAAGTGGCAATTCTTCAACAAAAAAACTTCAAAAACAGACTCCAACGAGAGACTGCTGAATGGGAATTAATTTGCAAGCTGTATACAGTTAATTTAGGCTTGAATAAAGACTGGGATTAGATGTGTCATTACACAAAGTAAAACTATTTCCCCACATTTATCCCCCACACACACACACACTGTTCCTCACACATTCTTGTCAACTGCTGGAAATGGCCCACCTTGATTATCACTACAAAAGGGTTTTTTTTTTCCTTCTGCTGCTGGTAATAGCTCACCTTACCTAATCACTCTTGTTACAGTGTGTATGGTAACACCCTTTGTTTCATGTTCTCCGTGTACATAAAACCTCCCCACTGTATTTTCCACTACATGCATCCGATGAAGTGAGCTATAGCTCACGAAAGCTTATGCTCAAATAAATTTGTTCGTCTCTAAAGTGCCACAAATACTCCTTTTCTACTTGCTGGATTGTAGCCCTCCAACAGCATCTGGCTTCCTCCAGTTCCCAGGTTTCAGACCCATACAGTAGTATAGAAACAGCATTAGTCTTGGACAACAGCCTCCTCAGAAAAGGGGAATCCATTGAGGACCTCCATGTTGGAGGTCTGATATCCTAGCTAAGGCTGATAGTTCTTTCAGTAGTCTTTACTGCGATTGACCATGAGGTGTGCTGCCACATCTGTGGGACCTGACAAAGGTGAAAGGGTGTTAGGAAAGTTCTGCTTGTTTCTGTTAGTGAGATCCAAGAAGGTGGTAATGGATAACTGCTCTTCATAACTATGATACCTTAGTCAAGGTCCCATAGGGCTCGGTTTTGCCATCTCTCCCTTTCAAATCTGCCTGGGAGATGATGAGGGGATACATGCATTATTGTCACCAATAGTCTGATGACTCTTTGTACATCTCCTCTGCCTCAGACACTAAAAAAACTGTTTCCATATTTTCCTGATGTCTGGCAGAGACACCAGGATGAAAGTCTTAAGCTCACAGTGGACAAGACAGAGACATTGGTTAGCATCTTGAGGAACTGGCAAATTCTATGAATATTCTCTTTCAGCTGATGACATCTGCCTATATATTGATAAAGCAACCTGCTGTCTCAGGGTCTTGCTAGATACATCACTACCCATCTAGTTCCAGATAGAAAATGCCATGTATAGCCACTGTTGCTATCTCAAGCTGCGCAAAGATGTGCTCTTTCCTTTCTAATAGAGATGTCACTGCTATGCCATGATAACTCTCCTGAATAGTTTAACATGGCAAATAAAACAATTTAAGGAAAAGAAATTGACTATATATCTATATACATATATATAGATATAAAAATGTATTGATGCATATTCCCATCACATTCTAATTTATTTTTTCAGTAAAGTTTAAATTTAAAAAAGACGCTAATAGTTGTACATTTTTGCTGCCTGACAAAATTCAGATGTAAAGAGAAATTTTTAAAACAAAGTAACTATTTACATGTATAAGATACACTGGCTTTCTGTCACATACTCAGTGTTTTCAGAAATATAATATTCGATATATCAACATAATTTTCCCTGGCGCTATTCAAACACTATAGTGATGTGAAGTTTAGTGTGATACTAAAGAACTACAGTTCATTAGATTGTTATTTCTAAAGTATCCATCACTCAGATGAATTTATGATTTTTGTTTAGTATAGGTGCTCTATTATTATGAGTTCATGTGACTCCATTTTCATATGAAATAGTCAATCCAGAAAACAAAATAAAAACCATCTTGTTTTTTATTTTTCAAAGGCTAGAATGCACTGTTGCTGCTGCAAAGAACCCCAGTTTTAATATAACCAGCAGTGTTTCAAGTGGACATGGCACATCTCCCTTCAACACATTTTCCTATGTGGTAAGCACTCTGATTAAAATTGTAGTGCCAAAATTAATTTAATTATTCATTAAAACAGGAGATTAGATGGAGCATGGATCTGACCCAGCACAGCAATTCCTATGTTCCTATTTGTGTCATTGTTGCCTCATTAAAGTGCTAAGAATATTATGATTGTATCTTCTAAAATCCTTTTTTAAAGATATTGAAGCACAATTTAACAAGGCCATTTATTATTTTTACCCCTACAGAATCCTGTAATAACAAGTATCTCTCCCGCCTATGGTCCCAAGTCTGGTGGAACATTATTAACATTATCAGGGAAATACTTAAAGAGTGGAAAATCCAGAGAGATTTATGTTGGTGAGAAACCATGCACCTTAAAAAGGTATTATATTCACAAGAGTATTGTAAGACTATTTGCTTTGTATTATGAATTGGGTTTGATTGAATGTTTTGGACATACAAAGTAAATGAATCCATCCCCTAATGCTATGTAGAAGTGGCACTGTAGTATATGTGCAGAGTATTTGAACGTGCTAGTTTTCTGTTCTGGTGTAGTCCCTTTGCCCTACAGGTCAGGAGATTTCACCTCTTCTGTAGTGCGTACATTTCACTACAGCCCAAGAGGAAGTAAAAAGGGGATGACAAGTTGTGATGATAGCTCCTGACTGGCTAAGAATTGCACACATCCTATTATTTTTGTCTGCCCCACCCCCATGCCAACCCATTTGTTCTTCTGGTCGATCTGTTATATCTTGTCTTTAAGACCATTGAGGTATTTTCTATATGTTTGTACAGTATCTAGCACAGTGGGGCCCTGACCTGTTTGAGGCCTTCCCCTGCACCAAGTCTCAGTTAACGCGGCTTCTGAGACTGGCTGCTGCAGGTATTGTTTTGCTGTGTAGACGTATCCTAAATGCTACCTCCGTATAATCATTAAATAATAATAATAGCTATAGGTTTTGGGTTGAGAAATGTCATGAAGTTCTCCCTATTTTTCTCATCTACAATAATAATATTTGTATTATTGTAGTGCTTAGCTCCAGTCATGGACCAGGACACTGTTATGCTAGGCGCTGTACAAACACTGATGTTGCATTTATTGTTACATACGTTGTGCCCAGTCCTATCCTTGGTTAAATGGGTGTGATGCATACTTAAGGTAATGGAAGTTGTACCCATTTTCTTTGGGGCAGAATTGGTCTAAATATTGAGTTTTTCCACATGGTTATGGAGAGACCTAATGGCAAAAACTCACACTTGTGGGACACATGAGAGAGCAATGGTCTATGTGTTAGTGTCAGAGTCAGAAGGGCTGTATTTCATTCCTGGCTCTGACACTGATTTAATGTACATTCTTGACCAAGTCATTTGAATTCTCTGAAACTCCATTTCCCAGTCTGTAAAATGGAGATACTTATCTTGCAGGGAAGCAATTGGATCTAAGGTGCAAAGTATTGTATTGTATATGTTTTTTTAAAATTATGAGAATTGCTCACGCAAAATAATGGCATACCTCCTCTGCAGATGTGACTGCAGGAAGTATGAAAAACACTTCAAAATAATGAAAATATTGTTGCCCATTAACAGCCTATTTCAGTTTGTTAAGGCAATGAGTTTGATTCTCCTCAGACTCGTACTTGTTTTACACTAGTGTAACTCCACTTATTTTGGTTAAGTTACTCCCGAGTTTCATTGGTGAAAGTGAAAGTGATGAGCCTTACATCCACTGATCTCTCAAACTACTGAATACATAAAGGCACAAGTTGACTCTCACCTCCTCCCCAAGACAAAGTGAGATAGCCTCCAAATTGCCACCATGGGATTACAATATGGTCTTTTGTCCTTGTTTTTTTTTAGTATTGACCTTTGTTCATTCTTCCTTCACCTTTTGAAAGGCCCTGTGACCTGTGCTGGGTGACAAACAATTATCTTAGGCCACTTCCACATGTACAGTATTAGGTGACTTTCAAAGCCTACTCAGTAAAAGCCCTTTGTCTCATTATTAAAGGCTATGGGCCAGATTCTCAACTGATGTAAATCAGGATAGATCCATCAGCTTCAGTGGCGCTATGGCAATTTACTACAGCCTTATGTGGCCATATATATGCAAGGTAGTTGGAATAGGGTTAAAATGCTAACATTCTCCAAGACCAAAATCCCAGTTTAACTTCACATAGCCTGTTTTTGGAGGGCCAAGATCATTATAGAGATTGTACAATGTCAGTCTTTTCTCATAAGAGCAGGACTGGGATGACAAGGACAAAGACATCTGAAAGACAGTTTAGCATAAATGGCATTATTGTCTCATCCTCATCTCATGTTTACTTTTGAGGTCCTGATCTTGCAATGTGAATTGCTTGTTTGGACCCCACTGGCAATTTGTGCTAGTGGATCCTCCTGCAAAATCAGGGCCCAATTTAGGAGTGTGTTTTAAACAGATTATGTGTTTTGTGATTATTGCAAGACAAGTTCCCCTCTTCTTCTGTAATTTCCTTTCAGTGAATCTGATAGCACCATAGTGTGTTACACACCTGCACAAAGAATTCCATCGGAATATCCTGTTAAAATGAAGATTGATTTAGCTACTCGAGAAGCTAAGGGTCATTTTACGTACAAGGAAGACCCTTTTGTTTTTAAAATTCATCCAGCTAAATCTTTTCTTAGGTGAGTAAAAGTGTCTCAAGTCAGCAGTGTGAAAAGGACAGACTCTTTTAAGCTGTGCTTTGAAAGCAATGTATAAAATACACTAGCAAATACTTAGGACTTTTTTCTATCTTCCTTTAAAATGCACATTTCCTTTTTTTTGTTCTGGTGTATCAGAAATTAAATACAATTATTCAGTTTTGTAAATTATTTTTCTTTTTTCTCTTTTGTTCCTGTTTGTTTGGTTTTTTTATCATGAGTGTGAAAGAAACTTAATTCCCAGAAATAAATATCACTACTATAAGCTATATTTCATCTTGTATTTCCTATTCCATTTGTATGTCTTTAATTTTGTTTCCATGCTGTAATTTGATCTAAAATATATTTGATTATATGGATTTTTCTAGAAAATACAATAGTAATGATTTATTTTTAATTTTTACCAGTGGTGGGAGCACAATCACAGTTCATGGAATCAACTTGAATTCAGTGTGTCTTCCTCAGATGGTGATCACTGTACCTAAGCTAGGAAAGAACTTCACTGTGGTGAGTCATCCTCCTGGGTGATAAAATATCATCTCATCATCGTAACCTGAATGACTCTGTTCTCTTTGGTCAGCCTGGCTTGTTTGTACCTTGTACCTTGGGGGCTTGATCCTGCCCCCATTGGAGTCAACAGAAGTGTCAAAGGGGAATTGGTCCGTGTGAGTAGAACTGAGCCCAGTGCCCCTGTGTCAGAGCAGGTAAGCCTAATCCAGCCAATTCAAGGGGGCTAGACTACAAGTGGGCCTATAAAGGTCTGCCAGAGGGCAGGAAATGAGAGAGGGAAGAGAATGGGTGGGACAGGCTGTGTCTGGGTCCCTGGAGCAATGGGTCAGGTGCTCAGGGAAGCAGCCCTGGGACTACTGCCCCAGGAAGGAAATAGAGGGGACTCAAATTGGGAAGCTGCCAGGAGATGGAGGGCCAGAGACCAGTGGAACCTGAAGCTAGGGGGAAAGGAGTGAGTTAAAAGACTGTTTTCTATTATGGTACTTGGTTGGGGTCAGAAAATGAGCCTTCCGAAAGGAGACTGGGCATAATAGTGAGTGTTTGGAAGCTCGGGAGAAGCCCCTCCTTGTTACAGGGAGGTTTTCCATTGACTCCGTTGGGAACAGGATCAGACCCAGATTTCATTATCCACATAATTCTGATTGATTCTGCTACATGCAACAAAGCTCAATGATCATTTGAAAACTAGATTTTTAAAATCTATTTAGCACTAATAATAATAATATCTTATAAAGGATGCTATAGAGGAGTTTTGCAATTTGAGAGCAATAAAATAATGCAAAGTAAATAATTAAAGAAATTATAGGGACAGATTATGCTCCAATTGAAGCCAACTGCCAGACTGCCTTTGACTTTAATGGTGTGGGACTGGACCTGTGCTTGAGACATGAGTGATGATTCAACCCAAATTAAATTGCAAGTTACATTGCAAAGCACAGTTCAAAAAAGCAAACATAAAGGTAAGCACAAATAAGAAGTCACATCACACTTTTTTTTTAACATTTTAAATTAAATCATTGAAGAAGAATAAAACATTGGAGCCTGTTGCTATGCTCCTTGGGTTTTTGTGCTTCTCTGCCAGCCTACCTCCTGTTGAGTTTCACTGCCAGTCATTCCTCCACCAGTCTCTGCCCCCAGATTTATTCCTCAAGGCAGGTTCTGCATTGCAAAGGGAGAAGTGCGGGGGGAGAGACAGTTAATATTGACAGACTCAGCACTCAGATCCTGTAGGGGTTGGTGGTGCAAAGTGGGCTTGGCTGCTGCCCTTAACCATGAGGAACGTTCACAGAGGAGCAACCATGGTGTCAAGAGAAGGAGGAGATATTACTCTTCCTTCCATTTCCCTCAGCTAGGATCCAGAGTATCCAAGTGCCCTGCATGTATATGACATAGGGCCACAGCTCCATGATGAGCAATATGTGTGCACAGAAGTTGACTTCCTCAGTGGGAGCTGCAGGAGGTGCTGGGTAGCCTGAAGCTTTAGGGAACACAGCAATTAGCCAGCTTTGGAGAGAGTTTTCTCTGCTCTGCCTGTTCTCCTCAGCCCTTTGAAGAAGTCAGTGTTTGAGCTGGTCAAAAAAAATTAGCGGAATAGTTTTCCATCAGAAAATGCAGTTTTCTCAAAATCAGAATGTTTCACAACAAAATTTTTGACAGGAATCATTTAGGTTTTCTCATTTCTTTATGTCAGAATATTTCGTTTCAATAACATGAAAGTGTTTCATTTCAGCTTTCTCATTTTGATTTATTTCACTTAGACTTTTCTATATTCAAGTGTTTATTTTAATATATATATATATATTGTGTTTACTGTTTTATATTAAATATTATAACACTTTGACATTATCAAAACAAAACATTTCCCCTTATTGTAATAAAATGATTCTGCAATATTGAAAAGAAACATTCTGATGTTTCCAAATTGAATTTTTTCTGCATTTCTGTTCTATGATGTTGAAATTTTGACCCTTCCTTCCAAGTCAGATGGAAATCAGATTTTGAGAAGTTGGAATTTCCTTCCAAATGGAAATTCCATTTTCTGACCAGCACTAGTTAGTTTCAAGAATAGCACTAGCTCTGCAGAGGCCTTGCATTCCCTGATGAAGAACTCTCATAAGTCCCATCCCAGGCTGAGGATAGAAGGAGGAGAGAGGCTCCTTCTTTTTTGTGCGGTTATATAAAGGCTTTGTATAATCTGGCCTTACCATCTGGAAACAAATTTTGAACTCATGTGCCTGCCTGCAAAATGAAGTCCCTCTAACCTCTGCTGTAAGTCTTGTTAATGGATCTCTTCTGTCCCCTAAGCATTTGAGGTCAATATTTTCTCTTTGAAAGCCTATACTTTGCATTGATTCCCTAATAGCAAATAAGTAGTCATTTGGGAATCTTTTACTGTAGAGGAATGGCCCATCCTCATCCCCATCCATTGGTTTGGACAGTATATTCATACTCTTAACTTCTTCTATAAAGGAATGTCCCAGGGTGTCTGAGGTGCAAAATTAGGAAGTACTTAGATTTTTAGACAAAAACCTCCTCTACTGCCACAGCCTGTAAAATATAGTCAGTTGTCACATCTATGATCCAATATGGATTTGTCCTGCTATCAGGCCAGGTATTTTGTGGCTTTTGCATTGTAACAGCATAAGATCATCTCTTTTCTCATTATTATTTTTTCATTTCAAGCATTTACAAAACTGGGTCCACAATATCTAGCCCCTTCCATTGGATAGCCTTGAGAACCTTTTAATTGCTCCCCTGTGATGCTGCTCTCTCTCATCTATTCCCAGTCACCTCCCATGAGATTAAAGGAATAGTATAAAAGCTTTCTCAGATTTGGGATATCATGAATCTATCCCTGTTTGTAGTACCCATCAAACCCTAAAGCCTGGGATCATGCGAGTCTAGGGTAGCTTTATGAGATAATGTTGGAGGTAACTTTGCTGGTTTATTCTATTCCATGGAAATCACAGAAGCTCATCTTTTCCTCTCTTGAAGAACTTTTGCTTGCCCCTAACAGATACTGAGGGTCAGATTCTCTAGCTGGATTACCTCAGTCATACATAGCAGCTGTAAGCCTGCTACAAATGCCCAGCAGAGAATTCCCTTGTTGGAGGGGAACTCCCTGCAGATGTTCATGGGCCCTGCATCTCTCCTGGTATATGGACTGTGCAGGAGGGGCAAAAGGGAGGAGTGCTGAAGATACACCAATCCTCCAGTGATGTAGAGTCCATGAAAGACCCTAAGCCAGTGGTAGAACTGGTAGCAACTGAAATTTCTATTGAGGCCAGTCTGGCCTTCAGAATTAGGAACCCAAAATCAGGTGAGGCTGTAGCTCTGTCTACTGTTTGGCGCAGAGATCTGACAGCTTGGAGTTTGTACCGTCTGGAACAGACACTCTTTTTCTGTATTTTCATCCAATAAGATGACTAGAAGAGAAATAGGGGCAGATGCCACTGAATCATTAATACCCACTTGTGCAGCAGCCTAAACAGCAGCATCTGTCCTTGCAAAGGCTGGTGCATTCTGTGACAGATCTTCATGATCAACAGACCAAGTAAGGTTACCTCTGACATTCTCACCAAGAGAGAAAATCCTGTTGAGATGGGAGACTATACTCCCCAAGCCAGCCATTGAATTCCTATCCCTACCTCTCATTTTGTCGTCTACCAGATTACTGAGAAATCACCCTTTGGACTCTGAGATACAGATATCTAGGGGAGCAGAGACAATATAAAAGTCTCCCAAATTGCTGTAGATCTCATCCATCTTTCATTCATCATTGGAAAACTCCAAAATTTTAGACTCTGTGTCAAAGGTGAAGTTCTCCTCTCTGCCCCTTCTGACAGTTTCAAATCACATGGTATCTGGGTCAGCTGCTGGGTGACCCCTTAAATGTGGAGAAATATTTCTGCTCTTTATCCTGTTGAAAAAAATCAAACTGTGGATTGAAGTTCAGATTCTGTAAATCAAGCTTTCATTAATTGCCTCAAGAGTCACATTTTATGAAGGCAAAAATACATATCTTTAAGTGGTGAGTCAAATACATTAAGCAAAGGGTCATTATTCTCCCCTGGGTAAACTTATTTGCTATATGCTTGTGAAACACTCCACATTTTTGGCATCTTTTCTTCCTCATTTTCTTCTGATGCAGATTATAGTCATAAGCAGAACACAGGTTCAGCTTTTAAAGTAAATGTATTTTAAAACCTAATTAAATAAAAGTTAAAGGTGCTGCCTGATAGGCAGTATCTTAATTGAGTAGGCAATTGATTGAATTATAATTCTTTCCTTATAGATTCTCAATCCAATATTTCTTGAAAACTAAACCATCATATTTTTCAATTGCTAAAACCAATTTCAAGGTAAAAATGTCATGTCAAATCACGTAACAAAAAGGGCATTGCAAATAAGATTTATCTTGACCTTACCAATCAGTCACATTGCATCACCTCTAAAGAGTATTATTAGATTTTTATCATTCTCTGAGAGCATCCCCTTCAGAGACCGGCCTGATAAAGTAGCTGGCTTCAGAACCAATTCCAACAGATAGCCACAAACAAAGTTATGAATACCACTGCTATTGATTTAAAAGACATCACTACTGTACAGTAGATAAGATGTGTAATGAATTCACATTAATCAAATAAGAATAATGATTACCTAAGATGTATTTGGTTGTTTAAACATATGTATTTTAGTGATGACTTGCTGACCAGCACAATGCTATAGGAATCTTTAAAAAGGATAGTCATAAATAAGGAAAAAATAGCTTGATTCTATATTTTCATCATACATTTGTTATTAACACATTGACTCAAATTATCTTCTAGGTCCATTAGACACAGTAAAACTTGAACTACAGTACATGGCCCATCACTCAGCATTCAGAAGTAAACATACCAGAGCACATCCTCAGCTGGAGTAAATTGCTATGACGATTTACATCAACTCAGGATTTGACCCCACCTTGTTTAATAGTTATTTTTAACAATTCATTTATACTAGGCTAGTCAGTTTAATATATTAGGGTGTGTTAGACCTGAGTTCATAGACTTGAGTCAAAAAGAGAATCCTACAACAATGTTCCATTGGGCCAAAGAAACTTGGTTATGTTGCACAAGACAAGTGAGCTGGCCTTGTTGGGGACCAGACAGAGATGGTAACCGCCGGAACAATTTACCAAGGGTCATGGTGGATTCTTTATCACTGACAATTTTTAAATTAAGATTGGAAGTTTTTCTAAAAGATGTGCTCTATGAATTCTTCTACAGCCTGTGTTATACAGGAGGTCAGACTAGATGATCACAATGGTCCCTCCTGGCCTTGGAATCTATGAATTATTAACTCTCTGTATGCCCCAAGCCAGCTGAATTTGAAAAGACATTACAGGGAGGAAGGCACCTGCATGTAGTTAAGTCCAGGGTGTTGACTTTTGGGCCTGTTCCTGCTCCCATTGAAGTTGATGAGAGTTTTGCAGTTAGAGCTTGACATGGCAGGGCGAAAGGCCCACACCAAATATCTGAAGGGACGCCCACGAGAGCAACAAGAGAGAGAGAGAAGCACCCATTTAGAATATGTTCCTGTTACGTGTGTTCACATTAATCTTCAGCATCCCAGATTGTCTTAACAGTAAGAAAAGCTATCTCCTTTTTCCCTACAGCATGGGCACAAATTTAGTTTTGAAATTCTGCTCTGCCTTAGACTGTTCCATAAACCAGAAAGAAGGGGTTCTGAGCAGGATTTAAAACTCAGATCTCCATGCACAGGAAAATTGGCAATATAGCAACACTGGGACCAACGCTGGTCAAAAAAAAGGGGGAATTTAAAATGTATTCTGTTAAATTCTGAGCAGCTCTCTGGGACATTTCTGCCACCTGTTGGTTTTTCAGAAGGACACCAGGATAGTTCTTTAAAAAAATCAAAGAAACCTGTAACTACTAGAGAAATTGGGGTTTTTCACTGCAGAACTGAAGTTCAATAAGTGTTATACTGTCAGTTAAAATACAGTTTTCATGCCAACAGCAGTAGATCACCTTGTGACCAGGGAGCCAAGTAACAAATGCAACTGAAATATAGAAAAGAACATAGTTTAGTTGTACTATAAAATTATGGTGCTTGATTCTACACCTTCTGTTGCACCCCAGAGATCACGCTGGTGTCAACAGGAATGTGTAGGTATATCTGAAGGCAGAGTATGGTCCATAAAACCAAATAGCTCTTAGTTACATGGGTGCAATTCCCATTATCTTCAGTGAGAGCTGCAACCATTTAACTGAGAGCAGAACTGGGCCCATAGTCCGTAGCTAAGTAAAACTTGTAGTACAGATTTAAAACTCCAGTGTTCCTTTCCAGATTCTTGGAAAAATGTTGGCAGAGCTAAGATTTCACACTTTTAGGTATGAAAACATGAATTACTGTGGTGATAAGAAAAAGTGCTGATCTAGAGACAAATAATTTAATCCCAAGCTAATGTGAGTAAATAGCTTTAACCATTATTATACTAATTTGATACAGAGCTAAATTGTACTGCATTAACTTGGTATGAAAGAAACAAATGGAAATTATTTCAAGGCAACATTCAGACTGGATTTTATAATGAGAACCAATATAACTAAAAAGGAGTATTTTGGCTCTATTTATGTATGCAGAGTTATTCAACAGTATATTGGTTTTCTAAGGATTTGGGTGGGGGTGTTAGAGTACAGAACACTAGGGGCAGCTGTAGGGTGACCAGATAGCAAGTGTGAAAAGTTGGAGTAGGGGGGTAATAGGCACCTATATAAGACAAAGCCCTGAATAACAGGACTCTCCCTATAAAATCAGAACATCTGCTCACCCTAGCTGGTAGTGCTAAGAACCATCATTAATGTCCCAACTGTCAGCCATGCTACAGACAAGTATAGTCTCTAAGAAGTGGCTGTTGTGCTGGAGGGTGCAGTGCACTTGCTTACCTTTGGGGGACTTCTTGCGGAGCTGAAGTAACCCCATCTGCATATAAGCTGCAGGCAGCAGAGGGAATGGACTCAAAGTAGAGAATACAGGCTTCTGTAGGACGGACTCATATTAGAGCCTCAGGGACAGTCACAATGCCCCCTAGATATGTTTACTGTAGATATAGGCCTTCCTTGCTTCCTCTGCCTCTTGACTAGGCCAAGCAAAAACTGGGGGCTCTGAACTGAGGGGGTGCTATGTGAGACAGTAGAGTTTCCAGGTGTCCAGTTTTTGACCAGAATGTCTGGTCGAAAAGGAAAACTGGCAAGATCTGGTCAGCACATCTGACCAGACACTAAAAGTTACCTGCAGTAACTGGCCTCGGCTACTGAGGGGTGGGGGTGGGAAGAGCAGCAGCGGCTGCTGGAGCCTGGAGAAGTGGCTTTGCTTAGCAGGTGCTGCTTTTCCCACCCCCCAGCCTGATGGAAAGTACTGGCTGTCTCCCAGACTGGGCTCCAAAGTAGGTACCAGTGCCATCGAAGTGGGTAACCTGTCTGCCCCCCACCCCACTGTGCCCCGATTTCCCCAGCCCCTTGCTCTGGGGATCCCTCTGCCCTGCTGTGCCCCAATTTCCCCAGCCCCTCGCTCCAGGGACAGAGCCCCCCACCCTGCTGTGCCCTGATTTCCCCACCCAAGCCCCTCGCTTTGGGGACTGATGCCCGCCGTGCCCTGTTGTGCCCTGATTGGGCAGGCTCTGTATCAGCTCCTCCCAGCCTGGCTCTGCAGGTAGCAGGTGAGTCCCAGGGGATCGGGGGGGGGGGGAGCAGGGCCTCGGGGGAAGGGGCGGTCAGGGTGTTCAGTTTTCAGGGATTAGAAAGTTGGCAACCCTATGGGATAGAGGGGATTTTCTGATGGGGGGTTGTTTTGAGTCATGATCAGATGGGAGGGGTTTTGTGTGCACAGCCGGGCATTGCCCAGGATGAGGGTTTAGGGGAAGGAGGAGAAGATTTCTAAGAAGTGAGTTCGGTTGCTGGGAGGGAATTGAGGGGAAGGTTTGGCAGGGCTGAGTTGGGAGAATGGAAGGAGTAGGGGTTGGGAATGAGGGAACTGCTGAATGAAGGTGAATGTAGATGAGCCAGTTGTATACAGTACGGAGCAGGAAGGCAAGAGTACAAGCAGTCCCGCAGAGACAAATACTCCTTTCTCTGTGCCCTGCCCTATACTGTAATGTGCCCTATGTTTTCATTCTGAAATGAGGAGGATGCAAAGTAGGGGAAGAGAGGGCTCCTTTCTTTCTATTTTCCAATCAACCTCCTTCATCCTCCACCAAACCCCCTCCTGTGACATCCACCACCAGTGTCCTCGTTTGAAAATCTGGTTAACGTGTCAGAGGAAGCGCCACCTATTTTGGCAGCAACTGCCACTGCAAAATACCAAGTATTTTGTTAAGGTGAATATTGAAATAAATATTAAGTGCTGTGCTTTTGGTATTCATGTATTTCCTACCCTTGGCTTAGCTGACTCCTGTTTACACCCAATTGAGGTGCACAGTAGAGGAATGGAGATGAAGAGAGACATTGGTGGGGGTGGAAAATGAGATTTCAGAATTTGTTTTCATCCCTCATTGGAAAGAAATTGCGACCTTTCAAAAAATATTTGAGAGAAAGACCCACCCCAGAATAGCCACTAAGTCAATGGTTAGGGCACTCACCCAGACCCAGGTTCAAGTCTGCTCTGAACCTGCGAGCTATTATGGGGTGGGAGCTCTCTCTTTCTCTTTCTGACTAGAAAATTCCATCCTAGACCTGAGAAACCTTCCCAATGAATCAACGTGTTCCAATGAAAAAAGCTTTTGTCAAAATATTCCTGACCATCTCCAGTGGCAGCTCTACCATCCTCTCTAACCATTTTTGTTAAAAGGTATAACCAAAGACACAGCCCTTCAAAAGCTCATCCTGGGATCATTTTGTCTCAGCTGCTGTCAGGAAATACAGGTTGAAACGGATCCTGTAGCATACAACACACGGGCAGACTGCAGAGGTGCTCTGCATGGGCACATTAGTCCACCTGAGCATTGTATGTTGCAGTCTGGAGTCTTAACTATATAATTTTAAAAGAAAATTAGAGAATTTTTGGCACAGATTCTCATAGCATTTTTGGCAGCCATGTTCTGGTCACTTCATGTCACTTTGGCAGTATAAAGGCACTCCAGCAGATCTCCACATGGGAGGCCCTCTGACAGACACTGGTTATTTTGGGTTTTGGCTGAGTTGTGTCACTGGAGCAGTAACAAAGCAGCCAGAACATAATATACTGATGATCCTTGGCTTTGAGATTTACTTTCCATTAATTATCTGCAAAATATTCGCCTAAAATGTGCACACTGATGCTAGGAAATATGTTTGCTAATATACTTCCTCAAAAGTGTGCAAATGCTGTCAAAGTGAAGTTTTTGCACTGATCACTCAGATCTAAGAAAAATGCTGCATAAGATGCATGATTTGATTTTTTTTATAGCAAGATACCTACTGCTCTGCAGCTTTTATAAACTTTATTTGAAAAGAGTTGGCAATTGAAGAATATATTTTAATGTAAGTATTTGTATGGTATTTGAAAATGTTTATGCACCTCCAGTATATTAAATGCATCTCTCTATTCTGTACCCCTTTCTTATTACAGACATGTAACCATCATTCTAACACAGAGATAATCTGTTGCACAACTCCTTCACTGAAATCCTTTAATCTGCAACTACCTTTTGCAACAAAAGTGTTTTTCATTTTTGATGGAGTCAGCAACCAATACTTTGATTTTGATTATGTGAATAATCCTGTATTTAAACCTTTTGAAAAGCCAGTGGTGATCTCAAGGGGCAATCATAATATACTGGAAATTAAGGTAAGAAATGTTTAATGGTCTTTTAAATCATTGGCTTTGATCTACTAGACTCTATGCAGATAAACTGAAACACTATTCAGTAAACAATATTCTGTAATAATATTGCAGCTTACACCAGCAAATAGGTACTAAAACACAAACTATTTGTCATAATACTTATGTGTAGTAGGGGGCTGATGTGTAATGAAGGTTTGGAGAAAAGATCTAAAGGATCTCTGCAGAAAAATGTAGGGAATTTTTCAGCAGGGAATATCTTGAGAGCATTGTTTTCTCCTTGTACCACATTCTTCTGAAGTCCCAGTTGTCATGAACTATAAAGAGCTGATTTCACAAATATGCCAGGGGTACACTTGGCACACCGGGTGGGAATGCAAAGGTGACTTTCCTGGTCCTCCAGGGACCCAGGGGCTAATTCAGCCCCAGTTCAAGTAAGAGCAGCCTCGGGACTGTTCTAAATTTCACCAGCTTTTAACAGCCTATTACAAGCTGTTATAACAGAATGGATAATCCAGAGCACAGCATACTCCAGCAATATCTCCTTCCCACCGTGAGCTCAGGAACACTTGGGGAATCTTCAGCTGCACAATTAAGAATTAGCAGGAGTAAAGATCTAGCTCAGAATTTGAAATGGTTGGTCTGTAGACTCATCTATTTCTCCTCTATGGTTTTGTGACCTTTCCTCTGGAGGAAAATGGAACTGCCTTAGCAGCACTGGCATTCTAGATCTTGGATGCAGGAATTACTGGGTGAAATTCTATGGCCTATGTGATGCTGGAGGTCTAACAAGATGATCTTAATGGTCCCTTATGGCCTTAAAATTTATGAATTTATGAAGGGTGCAAACTCAATAATGAGTGCATGTTCTGAGTAATCAGGCTGTGTGCACTGAGGCATGGCATTCTTAGTCCCAACCCAGCATATAGGGTTAATGCAGGGTGTGGGTGTACTAGCAGACACAGCCCAGGCTGCGTGCTTGGAACTAGAGCTGGGCAAAGAAAGGTAATTCCACTGTGCAGAGGATTTCGATAGAGCAAAATCTGGTTTCATTGTGATTCAGAATGAAAACCAAAAATTTCAAAATTCTCCACAAAAGGGAAGTTGGGCTGAGCTGTGAGGCAGCCCACCTGCCAGACTGTCCTGGAGCCATGAACCCTGGAAGACCTGGGGTCCCTGACTCCGCGACAGTCCAGCAAGTAGGCTGCCAAGGAATCAGGTGAGCAAGCTGCCAGGAAATCAGGCAGGATTCTGTCAGACCCATGCCTGGGTTCCATTGGATCTTCAACAAAATTCAACCATGTCCACAAAACATTGCGATTTTGACTAATCAGCAAATTCTGACAAAAGAGCTTTTCATTGCCATTTTCCCAACCAGCCTCACCTGGAACCCCTGCCCACACAATCCTCTCTCCTTCAGCTGGAGAGACCCTCTACAGCATTCAACTATGCAGCGTACAGAGAGAGCATGGAATCTCTCTCTCTACCCAGCTTCTTCATGCAGTGGCAACATAGCATTGCCATTGCACTCCTGGTCTTGCACACTCACTGCGTGGGGGACAGGCTGCTCCTGTAGGTGAAGATGTGGGATTTGGTGCTTCCCCATTCACTCCATGCTTTCTTTTGCCCACCTAGCTTAGTCCCAACAACTATATTTACCATTTCCTCCTCCAAGAGGGTGTCCTGTTTATGCTTCGTTGGAAGCAGTCATGAGGTTGAGGAGTTTGGTTTAGGACTGGCTTATTGGAGGGTGACCGCAATGACACTTCAGCTCTGTTGGTTTACCTTGTCATGGTGCCGTAAGCAGCTGCCTTCTGAAGCCCAATGCCCGGATGATTTCCTGGCAACCAACTAAAGAATGATGTTAGTTGAAGCTGGTCTCCTAGAATAAAGCATGAGCAGGAGGCAATTTAACATCTTCCTCCAAATAAAATTAGTTATAGTGGGATGCTTCCATCTAAACACTGAGGCGACTTTAGAATTTATGTTCAGGAGCCAAAAGATCATTATAAGCCGTACTGGCAACACTTTCCCCTCGCCCCTGACACACAGATAAAATCACACACACGTAAGTTTACATGCCTCATGGTCTTATTTTGAGCAATAATTAAGCAACCACAGCATGAAATTAAATGGCAGCTTGCTTCAGTGAGCAAACTGTTCTACCAAACCAAAGTTCTTTTATCTTTTTCTTAATTAGTTTTAGAAGTGGGGAGAGCTTTTATCACGAGTTTTTCAGTCGGATTAATCTAGTGTGACACATTTAGCTTCCAACAAATGACTGGATACTGACTGAAAGGTTCTCTCTGGTTTCCCTTGATGAACACAAGATGTTTTATAAGAACATATTGCTCAGAAAAACTATACTTATTCAATTGCTTTATCTAGGACTTTGTCCATCTGGGCATTGTATTCCTGGAGTGCCAGATGTTTTTTGTCTTCAGTGGAGGGCTTCCAAAACTCCATATTACACTCTGTGTCAAGGTCCCTCATCACAGCCATCTTCCTTTGCCAGGTATATGACTCTCTTTGAAGTCTATCAGTGCTACTCATAGGCTGGTCAGAGGGGTCATGGTAGAGTGACATGAGGCACTCTCTTGGTCAGTTCCCACCCAATGAGCTGAGCACACTGCTTCTGAAACGCTCCCATCTCCTGTCAACTTGCAAAGCACACAAGTTAGGATAAATCTTATTGTCTGTCAATCTAGGACAACCAAAAACTCAGTCTGGATAAGAAAATGTAATTACTTATTGCCAGCCAAAAGAAGTCAGTGACCCGTTCTTATGAACTTTGGGCCTGCTGACTGCCCAGTGCATCCTAGCTGTAAATGAAAAATGACCTCCTGTCCAAGTTTGCTTGTGAACATCACCAGACTGCAGAAGGAATGGATGATTTGTCCACATGGCCGGCTCCTTTTGTTGAATTCCTTCTATGGCACTACTCAACAAATTGCTCCGTATCATATGTATAGGCTAATTATACATGTTTTCATCTTCCAGCCTCCCAAATGCAATATCTGTCTGTCTATTCTTGGGTATTTCTGTCATCCATTATCATAGTACATAACTGCAGTCCAGTGGCATTCACAAGGAAGCCACAGGTACAGACCAATGTTTGTTTTAAGCCTCGGTTGGACATGCCGGGCAAGCAGGGCAACAAGGAATTTTAACAGCCTATCAGATCAGGTCAGCAGCTTGTCCCAGCATGTAGGAAGTGACAGGCAAATACACAGAAGTAGAAGAAACAGCTGCAACTGACTCCATAGCAGTTCTAGGTCAGAATTATCAGTGAGACACTTTAACTTGTCTTAGCTCTGCATGTGATCATTACTTAAGATTCTCTTGAAAATGCCCATCAGTGCTGTTCTGAGTCAGAGGCAGGCTATTTAATTAAGTGCTGCTACATCTGAGCCCCTACAAGATTGTGCACAAGTGCACTACACTCTCTGGAGCAGCTGTTCTACAGGAGTTCATCAGCTTAAAGAACTAGACAATTCAATTAACAGTGTAAATGGGACAGAGAACTGGGCCAAAGGTAGTTTCAATTGACTCCGGTTGTATCTCTGTAGGGCCAGTCCCCCAGATTCCAGAGTATTGTCTGAGTCCACTGTCCTCACCACCAACACGGATTCCTCTCATGCTCTTACTGCAGTTTTATATCAGCTTCAATCCCCATTTCCATTCAATTTCTAAGCAGAGACTGAGCAACAGGCCCAAGGCTTTGCCTGATCAGAGCTCATACACACATACCAAACCAGAGACAGACTACAAGTATTACTTATATATAGCAGGACTTGATTTCTAAACAGAACTCATTCTGGCCATGGAAAATATTGGGACCATCACAATTTTATGTCAAACAATCAAACTTGACACGTCTGCCCTGGAAATCAAAGATGGAAGTGATCTATTAAGCCTCTTTGTCCATTCCCAGTCCAGTGTAGGATGTTCCCTGTGGGGTAATCTTAAGTGTCACTGCCTCTTGGTGTGGTCTTTTTAGGGGTCTCAGCTTCTTCTGACTGACTCTTCTGAGCTTGGTCTCAATCAGGTCAGTTCCTGGATCTTCACATCCAATTAAGTCCATCAGCCCTTCAATTTTAGGGCTTGCAGTCTCCTTCAGTCTCCTGGCTGTTTTCTTGGAGGCAGCCTGGTGTAGAGCTGTCACCCCTTTGCTAGCTCAGGCCTTTCTGCCTCCCCTTTCCTTCTCTGTGCTCTCCCCTTCATAGCAGGTCTTGTTTTCTCTATTGGTTGTAGTTGTGGGTGCCTGCCTCCAGGATTGGTAGTTCTGGCAGCTATGTCAGGGTGTGATCAAGCCGCTTGTTTGTAAACCAGAGAGACTCTCCTCCCGCCTCTGTCTATGCGTAGTATGGAGTTTGTAGTCCCCATTACGTTAAGCTTGTCCAGTCCATTTTTAAATGACTCTATTGATCTATCTCCTTCTATGTCCTTTAGCAGATTGTTACAGTCTAGAATGTTCCCATTCGGAATTATTCTGACATTAAGCCTGCATCTTCCATTCTTAAATTGCATTCCATTATTCCTACTTATGATCTGTAGGACCATTCTAATCCTTCAGTACTGTTCAACATGCTTCAGATACTCATAGATGTGGGAGCAAATGGTATATGTAGTTGGTCTGTGATGGCTACTCCAAGTAGTAACTAACTGCCCCGTCTGGCTTGAAGAGGCATCAACTATTAAAAACAGGGTGGGGATGGGTAACAGATTTTTAAAAAAAAACAAAAGAACTAATATGAAAGGGAATCTTATTCTCCTACCCCGGTAGTAATCAATAGGCACTCCCTTCTATCCCTAAATATGTGACACATTCTGTGGTCCTTAACTGAGCAGAATTGCCATTGAATAAGAGGCTTGATTAAGGATCTTAGAATTTAATCCTACAAATGTATCGTATATTTATTATGATCTGCTATGCATGGGTACAGGGATCTGCTCCCATGGAATTCATTGCAGTGTTCTTCAGCGCTCCTTTCTTAGGGAAAAATAATAATAATTAATAATAAATCCATAGCTAGCCAATGTAAAGTGTGTTCTTATTACTGTTACCCTCAGCCTGCCTGCCCCACTTCCCTCCGATTGTTTGTTAAAATTACTCTTTGTGTTTTGTCTCAAATTAGATTGAAAGGTCTTCATGGCAGGAGTTGTATCTTCTTAAATATTGTATGCTGCCCACCACCAAGGGGGCACTAATCCTAGACAGGATTTAAGTTGGACAGCCCTGTTTTTAAATGTTTTTTCCCTGTCGGTACAGAGACAAAAACGGCAGTGGTTATGTTTGCTATCATGGCTGGGGGACTATGACAGGACGGAGTCCTGATCCTGTCTCTTTTCTAGCCACAAACCACTCAGAGGCTTTCTTCTGGTCAAACACCTTTGCAATTTATTTAGTGTTCTCCCCACCACCCTTACAAATTTGCATAGCTCTGTATTTACAATAGCTTACTCTCCTTAGCTCCTTACAAGGTATCTTCCACCTGAGAGATCTCTCTTGGCTCTGATCCTGAAAATGCTACCAGTCTTTCTTCCCCCATGGGCACTTCCTTCCTGTGCCCTTCTACCTTCTGGGCTAATTAGCCTTGCAGCACTCTCCTGCCCATCCCCAATCTATCAACTGGGCACAGCTTTGCCCCATAGGTTCACTCCGGGGCAATTTAATTGTTGATACAGCAGTACAGCTGCTGTTGCCCAGCACACTATCACAGGGACACCATTTTGAAGAATGCACTGCTCTTCCCCCACCATTGTGACCTTGTACGCACTGTGCGTGCAAGGTCACACTGGCGGGGTGGAGTCTCACAGCCGGGGGCAGGTCCATGCTATTCCCGGAAGTACCCGAATGTTCAGTATTCTGGGGATGCATGAGTGGCCACCCTCCTTAATCCTGAGCAGGGCCTTTGGGCACTAACATGATACAAGTAGCAATAATAATGATTATTCATCTTACTCTGGATATAGTCAAGGGCAGTTTTCCTGGGTAAGGAGTGCAGAATGGGGTCCTTTTAATGCTGTCATTTTTACTGGTAAATGCTCATCTTTGGCTTGTAGAACATGTTTCTTTTTATCCAATTTACTGGGGTGACCGTATTTCCGAAAGTGAAAACAGGATACCACAAGAGGCTGGCCCGAGACCTCACCCATCCTGCATGGAGCTGGCCCAAGCCCTCTCCCCCTGCATGGGGCTGGCCTGAACTGCCAGAACGTCACTGCTCGCCCAAGCCCTGCCACCTGGGGCTGGGGCTGATAGCTTGAGCCCTGCCCCTGGTGTCACCACATGCCCCCCGACTGTTCCTCTGCACTCTCCCTAGGGAGGTGCGCCCTACTTTTTTGGCAAAACCAGGCATTTGTCCCATTTGCTCTTGCCAACTGATCATCAGCAAATGCCTAGTTTTGCCAACAAAAGTCGGGACATCCGGGATAGGACTTAAAAAGGGGTCTGTCCCAGCCAAAATAGGATGGTCCTACTATTTGCCCAATTCTATGAGAGCAATTCGCTCTCAAGTTTCACTCCCTTTGTAAATATAATGTATCTCCCCTCGCCATTTGCAAAACAAAATGTTTGAGATGCCTACAATGTAGTGGATAACAGAATGCCAGTTTTGTGTAAACACGGCTATATAATGCTTCCTTTCTCATGTGAATTATGCAAAAATGTGAGACAGTTAAAAAAAACCCAGCAGAATATGTTCCTTGGATGTTTACATTTTTAGAAATCATGTGGGTTGCATGAGTGTAACTGAGAACAGAGTTTGGCCTTAAACATTTTACTTCCCTTTTTGTTTTTCTGCCAAATTGCCATTTACATTAACAGAAATTAAACATGTACATTGGCTGGGCCATAGAAGACCAATTGTGTAGTATTTTGTTTGATTTCATAATTGTTGCTTTTGCCACCATAAAATAACATTTTCTGAGTCAATAGTAGAGCATCTCCTTAAGAATTATATTAAATGATTGTTAATGTAATATTTTTTAAATTTTTTGTAGGGAAATTACATTGATTCAGAAGCTATTAAAGGCGAAGTGCTAAAAGTTGGAAATAGAAGTTGTGAGAACATCTACTTACAGTCTGAATCAGTTTTCTGTATGATTCCCAGAGATCTGCTGAAATTGCACAGTGAGCTAAATATAGAGGTGGGATACCCTCGCTCCATATATGATGTAGCTAATAACGATCCCACTGGAATTATGGTGCCTGCAAACTTAAAATGCAAATCTAATCCTCATGTTGGTAGTGGTTTCAGTTCATGAACTTTCCCTTTTGTGTGTGTGTGTGTGTGTGTGTGTGTAGGTCTTATTATTTCTAAGTTCCAGCTTTCTTCAGAAAAATGTGAATTCTTTTATGAGAAACGTGATTATTATCTGTATTGTGGTAGCACTTAGGAGCCCCAGTCATGGACCAGGACTGCATTGTATTAGGTGCTGTACAGACAAACAACAAAAAACGGTCCTTGCCGCCAAAGAGATTACAATCAAATTGTAAGACAAGAGACAACAGGTGGATGTGGACAGATAGACAGGGAAGCAGGTGGAAACCATGAGGCAACAGTTTTGGTCCTGATCCTGCAGGCCTTCCTTGGAGTCAATGGGATCAGGCACTTTGTGTAGAAAAAGCATGAAATAACCTGTTCTCCACCTACAACAATTCAGTTTTATTAGTTTGATAAAATCCAGATATTTAGGACAAGTACTTGAACCCAGGTCCTTCACCCTCTATGAACCAAAACCTGGTCCCACTGAGTTACTGATAGTGTTGCCATTGATTAAAATAAGGCCAGGATTTGACCCTGTGTTGATTCATATGGCATTACAAGTATCTTTCAAAATTGTTGATAAAATTGTTGAGAAAAGACAAAAATCACAAATGATGTTCCTTTAAACTATGCAGCTTATACATTATGGGCCTTGTCCTGCTCCACTGAAATCAACAATAACTTTAGAATGAATAGGATCGAAACCTACAGTATGACTTTCATTTAGTTTGGTGGTCCCCAAACTTTTTATGTCATGGTCCCCACTTACCCATAATGTAATTTGTCCGTGCCCTGCCAGGAGCAGGGCTGAGACCACACCCAGAGCCACAGCTGGGAGCGAGAGCCACAGGCGGGAGTGGGGCCAGGGCTGGGGGCCACAGTCAGGGGTCAAGGCCAGAACCAAGCTTCGGTCAATGCCAGGAGCCAAACCAGGGCCTCTGCTGGGGGCGAGGCTGGGGCTGGAGCCGGAGTGGAGCTGGGAGGCTCCCTCCACACTTTCTGTGGGGGCTGGCCCGAGCCCTGTCACACCCCTCTTAATGTTCCTTGGTGCGCCCTGCAGTTTGGGGACCACTGATTTAGATGGTAAGCTCTTTGGGGTAAGGATTGTTTGCTTGTGTGTTCGTACAGCACCTTTCACAATGTGGTCCTGGTCCATGACTTGCCTCTTAAGCTCTACCTCAGTACAAATAAAATAATTATATTAGACAATTTTTGTTAAAAGCACAGGCACTAATTCTTGGATATAGAGCTGGCAAACTATGACATCAGATGTTCTCCTTATGCTTTCCCTTTGGCAAATACATTTTCATAGAAGATTGAAAATGCCATGTCTCTCATATTTTATCTATGTATATATGATATTAAATACACACGCACTTTTACATTTATGTCGTTGGTTATGTAACTTATTTAATCAGTTCTATTATGTCCTATTTCCGTAACCCTTTTACTCCTAACAACCACAGGGGTGGCACATTCTACATGTGGAAGCAAAGAGGTCAGTAGTGAAGGGGTTAATCATGTTGTGTACTTGTTTACTGGCAAAAAGTCTTGGAAATTGCTGTCTGCCCAGCAAAGAAGACATTTTGCACTTTTGATGGACTAATCCTTCATTACAGTACCCAAAGGACTGACTTCCACACAAGAAAGACGAAGGATTGCCAAATGCATTCCAGTTGACTGAGATAGTGCCATGTGTCCTAAAATAATTTTGCCCTGGTAGCTGGTCAGTGTTTGTTTGCTTGTTTTTTTTAAAACTTGTTGACTAGCTAAAAATTGTCAAGGATAGAATCACATGACGTTGGGAACTGTACTACAGGAACTGCAGCATATTTCAGCCAGAAGGACATGTACTAGGGCTGTTTTAAAATCAATTACAGTGTTTTTTCCTATAAACCCCCACTTTTGCCAGTGCAATTTGAGTAAAAGGTGATTAACACAAAGTGGCCATTTAGATTGTAAGCACTTCAGAGCTGGGACTGTCGTCTTTGTTCTGTGTTTGTGCAGCGCCTATCACCATGGGCGGCAGGTATCATAGGCCATCGAAGGCTAAGTCTCCCCTAACCCAGGCCTCTGGCTCCACCTATGCTCTGCCCCAAGGCCCTGCCCTCACTCCCCCTCTCCCCTGAAGCCACTGCTGGCTCTGCTGTGGCCAGTGGCTCAGGGCAGCTCTATCCGGCCAGTGGCCCAGTGCTCGGACAAGCCAGCAGCCTAGTGCTCAGGCCCACCGGTGGCCCAGTGCTTGGGCCCACCGGCATGGCTGAGACAGATGGGCTGGGGCTCCTCCAGCCACAGGGCGGGGTCGGGGCTCCTCCAGCTGCAGGGGGGTGGCTCGGGGCTCTAGCAGGCAAGGGCAGGGTCTCGGGCAGAAGGGGCGGGGCTGGGGGCTAGCCTCCACAAAGGGGACATTCACCTGCCGCCTATACCTATCACAAAGGGGTTCTGGTCCAGGCATGCAGCTCCTATGTGCTACATAATGCAAAGAACAAAGTAATTGTCTATGTGTGCAAATGCTGAGTTTCATGTGTATAATATCATTTTGTGGGTGTGATGGCTACTTGGCTTTTTGAAAGGATGTGATGAACCACAGAGGACCAGATTCCAATTTCATTTCCACCAGTGTAAATTTATTACTCCAAACTTCTCTCCATGGTGGAGCCTTTCAGGCCAGGATTTAGCCCATAAAGGGTATTTCAGACTCACTATTTCAGCGCTAATATGTATTATATATTTTTGGTGGATTTTTTATTTTAAATCTTCACAGTATTACAATATCTTTTTCTTTATTTCTGTTAGTGGAAGCAAGAAGTTTTTTCAACGCTTATTGGGAAAGTGATGATTCTGCAAGATCAGAATTTCACAGGACTGATTGCTGGAGTTGTCTCAACCTCAGTGTTATTTTTATTGTTGTTGGGGGGTGTTCTATGGATGAAGAAGAAAAAACAAATTAAAGGTGCATCATTGCTAACTTCATGAAGTAATTTAAAAAATATGTGGGTTCTATTAAAGCTTAAACTATTTTATGCACTGCCTACATGTAATGTAATATCCTTCTCATATACCCTGCCAGTAGAAATTGCAAAATATAGGCCCAATCTTCAGTTGCATTTCAACGCCTTTTTGGTGCCAGGGTTGTGTGAAGGGCCAGAGAGCAGATCTGGCCAGCTGACAATTTCCCTGAGGTCGGGGAGCTCTCAAGTGGGGCAGAACCCTAGCCATTCCTCTCCCCAAGTCAGTCTTGGCATAAGGGGCAGGAAGAGGGCATGGCTGGAGTGAACTGTACTTCATCTATACTCAACTGTTGTGGGGTCCCCTTGTGGGAGACGAAAACCAGCTGGTATAAATTAAAGCAGCCCCCAAGCGGCCCTAACTTTTGTTGAGGCTCAGGACAGCACATTTCCCTGAATTTCCCTGGTGGCCCCCCTTCTCAGCACAGCCAAAAACATGAATGTTTGACACTGTTTCTTTCAAACCCCCTTTCAGATCTGGGTAGTGATTTAGTTCGTTATGATGGAAGAGTGCACACTCCTCATTTGGATAGGCTTGTGAGCGCAAGGAGCGTAAGTCCAACTACAGAAATGGTTTCTAGTGACTCTGTAGACTACAGATCAACGTTGCTAGAAGGTGCGTCTCTGTTGTTAATCTGAGCAGACATTGCCATATTTTAACTTTCTTGTTTTTCAGCTATCTTCATATGACCACCTGTTTTGAACTATATCTTATTGCTCAATTTTTCATCAGACCTGTCTGTCTTTTGTTAGGGACCTTCACCTGTTTTTTTATAGAAAGTAGACTTCAGGGGTATTTCACCATGTTAAACTGAGGGTTTTTTTTTAATTTTTACTATAGTCTGAGTGGCAAAAAGAGATGAGATTAGTGAACACATTGTAAAAAAATTAAAGAAAAAAGTACCATATTCCATACCTTAATGAGGAGCTGCAGATTTATGGTTTTTTCACTCTTATATGTTTATGTAGGTCTACCAGGTAAAGGTGCAATTCTACTCCAGAAAGAGCCTGCAAGGGTAACATTAAGTGTGTCTCAATGACTCCTACATCAGTTATGCTCACTTAAAAATGAAATTACATATATTCTGACTGCCCAACACTGCAACTCAACTGATGGTTCAAAAATCAAGCTGTATGATTAAGTCTGCTTATGTGGGTCTTTCTCAGTGTCTCCTGTCAAAGCTGTTCCACTTTGTACAAAATGCCTGAATAAGTCACTGGGCTGGAAACTAGCTTGATGGTTAGGGCATTCACCAGGCGAGATATACAGGAGAAATCGAGAAAGCCAGACCACAATAACTAGGGCACTCTCCTGTGATGTGGGAGACCTAAGTTCAGATTGCTGGTCTACATCAGGCAGAGTGGGGAACTGAATGTGGGTCTCCCACATCCTTGGTGAGTGCCCTAACCACTGAGCTAAAGGTACCACCACCTCCACCTCCAGCTGTTTGGTGAAGCTAGCCCTTAATTTCCTTTGCTTTTATGTTAAAAAAAAAAGTCCAGAAACGGCACCAAACAGTCCATTAGGGGTCAAAGTAAATGCTTTGTTCAACTAGAAAATAATTTTTTGTGGACTTTTTTGACTTTGAAATTGTTCAGAATTTTCTAATTTGGTTTGGGTCAAACTGATTTTTCCCCTCCCCCAATTTTTTTTGAACTATCAGCAAACTGAAAAATAAGTTATTCACCTCGCTCTGTGCAGGACATGTTTGCCATACTCTCCTACAAGGCTTCTTCATCTTCTTGACATAAAAGAAAGCTACAGCTTATTCCAAGAAAATCACAAGAACTAAATTAATATTGAATATGCCTTTGATATGCATATCAGTTACTGTAAGGAATAAAATGAAAAGAACACTGGAAAACTTTGAGGTACATTGGTAATAGCAATTAACATTATTTTACAAAACTGGAAAGACTCGCCTCAGTTGCGTAGTGATAATCGGATATATTCCCTCTTTGTGCAGCATAAATGCGAGGGATTTGTGTTTCTAAACATAACAGCATGAAGTTAGTATCTGGAATCTAATGAATAATTTTAGCACTATCTGCATTTTATAATTTCATGTAACATATCTATGTCCAATTCCTTTTTTCTCTCTGATAAAATAGCCTCATCTGTTAGGGGTTTTCTCTGACCGTGGGCTAAATTCTGCTCATTGACTCTGCTGGAGTCATTCCATATGTAACTGAAAGTAAAATTTGGCTCTTTGATTCTATTATACAAATGTTTAAGAAACAATACCAAAAAAGTGAATGTTATATTGATTTAACCTATTCCCAAATCGTTTACTATGCTTAACTGAAACATTGCAATTGCTGTAATTTAAAATCCCTTGACAAATTGTTGTTTTTTTTCATGTTACACCAACTGTATTATCTTTGGAAGCTACAGGATATGACTCACCTTTAGGCATTTCCCTGGTTGAATATTGACCATTAGATAAATATAGCTTGTCACTGGCAATTTGGGAATGTAATGAAATGTCATGCAATTTAAAGTTGCCTTCCAAATTACAATCTGACAATAACCCAAAGTTTTGTATTTTGCATCCTTTACTACTTCCTACTTGCATCTGTGTTCTTTTTCAGTTGTACTCCTATGGCTATATAGTCTAAATATACTACACACTTCTTTTTTTTTACATTGGCTAGAAGTGGAAGGGCCTGGTACTGTTCCCTCTGACGTGAGTGGCAGTTTTGCCATTAACTTCAAAAGAAGCTGGGCTGGGCCCAGAGTAAATTTCTGTCTTCGGTGATGAAGTTTACATGAGCTTGGCAAGGCAGCTACGTATATTTTTCTTTTCCCTTTTGTGACGGAGTGTGTTGTAAAGCAGGCTAACTTCTAGACTGATTGAATATAACTGACTTTGCACAAGTACCAGTTAAATACACCTCTTGATCTTCCATTGAGCACAGCAGGAAGCGTAAAAGAATTAAAATAATTTCTGTTCATCTTGCAGATCAGTTTCCAAATTTGTCTCAGAATGGCTCATGCAGACCAGTACAGTATCCTCACACAGACCTATCATCCAATCTGTCTAGTGGGGACTCGGATTTAGCCAGTCCACTGCTGCAAACTAATGTCCACATTGACATCAGTGCCTTAAATCCAGACCTGGTCAAAGAAGTTCAGCATGTAGTCATTGGTGCTGACAGCCTGATTGTGCATTTTAGTGAGATAATAGGAAGAGGTAAGTATTTCAACTCTTATCTTGCTAAATAACATTTTTGCACAGCCATTCATCATATTCCTTTCTGAAGGTAGCATCTTACATATCACTGAAAGATACTGCAATCATTTAACTAGAGACTTGCACACTTTGTTGTTTTTATAGGTTGACCACATTGCTTGTTCCAGGGACATCTTGCATCCCTCCATATGCACCCCAACCCCAACCTTCCTGTGTGCTACCCACCATCCCCCTCTATTTCATGGACTCCCTGCATTATCCCCCATGCCAGGGGCTCTGTCTCATCCTCCCCATTCCACCATCTGCCACATGGCATGGGCTCTGTGTCTACCATGTCCCTCTCCCGTCATTGCTCCCTTTCCCCCCGTGCCAGGGGCTCTGTGTGCCCCTTATTCTCCCTTCCCCCTATAACAATGCCCCAGTTCTTCCCTTTAATGCCCGAGATTTTGTGTGCCTGACCCACCCCATCTCCTCCTTTCCCCCACACACCAGGGTCCCCCATTCTTCCTGACCCCCATGCCAAGGTCAATATATTTAGAGGTGTTCACTAATTTTGTGCACTTCAATATACCTGAGTGACTTAAGTGAAAGTTTGGGGTTTTCAGCACCTCTCAAAATCAGGCATAAAATGTCTCCAGTTGCACACACAAAAACTGAGGGGTAGAAAACCAGTGAACAATGATGGAAACTTGGCTGTAAACCATTTGTCCAATTTCTGTGGTGCAAGAAAATAGTCACAAATCAAATAAACAGGCACTGTATCCCCCTCAGTGCATTATAGTTAGACTGGGAAGGATTGGGTTCTGAATTTGTAAATGTTGATTTCACCGTACTTCACAATATTTCTATTGATAATAATCAACATTTACAGATGAGCAAAGTAAGAAAAATGCTGCTTGAGAACTTAACAGAGTTTGATTTATGGATGTTTATATTGTATATTTTGACATGTGGCTATTGACAATGTGAGTTTTAATGGTTGTATAGCTTTAACTTTTTGAATCTCCAGGTCTGTCATTAAATAATTGTTGTCTGATGCCCCCATAATTTCCCACAACTGAAAATTAAAATTGATAAAAATAAAAAAGCTTAAAAATAAAATATTGATATCTGTTGAAATTATTTTAAAAAATTGAATTCTGCCAACCCTAGTTATAGATTATGTTTCCTATAGCAAGAGCAGGGCATTATTTTTCCCCAAACAAACATAAAAAAATCCCTTCATTTTTTTAAATATTGGATAACTGCCAGAAAATGTCACTGATTTCATTTACTATGTCCCTACTTCATTTCATTTACTATATCCCCTTTTTTAAGGGGGCCAAAACCAGAAAAGGGCCAAAACCAGAAAAATTTAACTGACCCATACTTGAGGGTTTGCATAAAATGTGCCCAGTTTCCAAGATTGGGAAATTTTGGTTGCTTTTGCAAAACAGACTCCTGGCCAATTCCAGTTTGCAGGACTAAAGCCGCTTTTGGATTTGCCCAGAACTTGTGACTCTGGATCCTAAGTAGAATTCCTCAGCCTTATTTTCTGCAGTGCTAATGCTTGAAAAACTGCTTCAGCTCTGTGACTACAAATGTTAATATTAACTTTAAATGATCTTTTACCTCTTGTGCCCAATGAATGTGCGTTCATGATGTTGGCAGGCAAACCCTATCGTTAGATCTGTTTAAGAACATGCAACCTCATTGACTGGGATCCTCCAGAATATCTGTTTTTATATTAATAGTGATAAGTAAGTGTTCTCAGAAAATGCACAGCCCTGAAGCTCTAAGTTCTCTGTTGATCCACAGAGCAGGTTAGCATGGGCTGTGACTGGGGGTGCTTCTCCACACTGCCCCTTCCTTAACCCAAAAGCCCCTCTCTAGGGATGAGAGAGGATTTCAATCTACTCTACACACCTATTCATTTCTCTGCTGAGACTGCCAGCAAGAAGGCAAATTGTGATTATCATTTTTCGGTGACACACCATGTGGAAACTAGGGTCATGTTCCAAAGCCCATTGATGTCAATGGGAAGACTCCAATTGACTTTGGAGAGCTTTGAATCTGACCCGATGCAAGATGCCCAGCTTATTTCACAGAGACCTCTGATCGTGCCCTACTGACTGGATTTTTAACTCATGAACTGCAGGTGAAATGCTCTGTTCCCCCTTATCATTCCCTTGAGCCATTCAGTCCCCTCCTCCAGAATACATCAAATAGCAGAGGATGGGGGGAAAGAAGGAATATTGGTTTTTTAAAATAGTCATTGCAAGAATATTAGGCAGTTGTGGAGCTAGCCTTTAGTCATTTATTTATTCTTTCCATCTAAATCAAGAAATATCAATTATGCTGGAAATAGAGCTTTAGCTTTATGTACTTGCAGCTTAATGTGTTATAAAATATACATTGCAACAGTCTGAAATTAGAGTCTATTATGACTATGTTATAGCATAATTGCTAGTCAGTAAAGTAAAATGTAATATAAAGCTAATCTTACTTATTGAAATTGAGGTTAACCTTACTCATTCTTCACACAGGGCATTTTGGGTGTGTGTACCATGGGACATTGTTGGATAATGATGGCAGGAAAATTCATTGTGCTGTGAAGTCCTTGAACAGTGAGTTACATTTTTTAATAGTGAGATATCATCATAGATCCTAAGGCAGCCAGAGTAACCCAAAATAGCAAATTGCTCTGTAGAGTTCCACTTTCACCTATAAAAGACTGACTTCAGCTGCAACTACTATGAGCCTAATTCATCCCTGGGGTAATTCCACTGCTTTCAGTTCAGCTACAGAAGGGATAAATTTGGCTCTGTAAATTTGTTTGTCAAGGAGAACATTCACATCTTCTCCAAATACAAACACAGGCATAGGGAGAAAAGCTAGGGGAGGGCAAATAGCATTTTGCACACCATTAACTTGGCTTAGGTTTGGTTTTTATAAATGAAATTGAAAACCAGCAGAAGGAAGTTTGTACATAGTGTAGTAATGATTCATTCCTGGCTTTATCTTCAGGCATTACTTTTTTAAAAAATGACTATAAAAAGGGAGGAATAAAAAATAATAAAGTATTTGAGAGAGACCAATATATCCAGATGATGGATTATTGAATATGTTCTATAACACAGCTTGCTTTGAACCTGACAGTGTTGAAAACTTACTGGACTATACTCTAAATATAAATATTAGTATGCAGTTCAAACTGAGCCCAAGCCTGAAACACTCATACATGCTGGTAACTTTGACCTCAATGAAGCTATTCACATGAATAGTTCATGAGCATGTTCATGAGTAAAGTCAAGCTTTATGGCAGTGGTTCTCAAACTTTTGTATTGGTGACTCCTTTCACACAGCAAGCCTCTGAACCTGACCAACTTTATTAATTAAAAACACATTTTTAAATATTTAACACTATTATAAATGCTGGAGGCGAAGCAGAGTTTGGGGGTGGAGGCTGACAACTCATGACCCCCATGAAATAACCTCGTGACCCCCGGAGGGGTTACGACCCCCAGTTTGAGAACCCCTGCTTTATGGAATCAGGTCCACTGACTTCAATGTGAACCATGTGTCAAACTCCACAACCAGATTTGGATCATAGTTTCAACTATACCTCCCTGCTTGGGAAGGGGAAGAAAATGGCCCGTTTTCAAAATTATATCTATCCCCTCTAGTTTCTGGTAAGTTAGAATTTATTGCACTTTAGATGTATTGCAAATTGATCTCTCTCCCCCCCACCCCAACTCCCACTGCCGTATCTCTCAGGAATTACAGACCTGGAAGAAGTAGCTCAGTTTCTCAAAGAAGGGATCATCATGAAAGATTTCACTCATTCCAATGTCCTGTCGCTACTGGGAATTTGCTTGCCCAGTGAGGGGTCTCCTTTGGTGGTGCTTCCGTATATGAAACATGGAGATCTTCGAAACTTCATTAGGAATGAGACTCATGTAAGTACATTATCAGATCTGTTAAATGGTGACGTTTGAGCACTCCCTATAACAGTATTATAGGTTACCAGATCTGACCACTACATTCTGTTTATAAAATGGCATTATTTTTGTATATTAACCACTGTTCTGAGAGTGCTATATTCTTTTTCAGAATATAGTCCCAAAACTCATTGACAATAAAGATTTACCATTGCCATCTATAAGCCCCTTGTTATAAACAAATTTGGTTTCTGAGATTAAAGTTGGTGTGCAAGACCATCCAGTGGTGTAAATTGGCACAGTTCCATTAACTTCAAGGGAGCTGTGCCAGTTTACACCCACTGCAGATCTGGCCCTGTGTGTTTGATGTAAAGGGACAATCGTATCTGCTGCTATTATCAGTGCCATACTCACAACAAATTTCAGAGTAGTAGCCATGTTAGTCTGTATCCGCAAAAAGAAAAGGAGGACTTGTGGCACCTTAGAGACTGACAAATTTATTTGAGCATGAGCTTTCGTGAGCTACAGCTCACTTCATCGGAGAGCTGTAGCTCATGAAAGCTCATGCTCAAATAAATTTGTTAGTCTCTAAGGTGCCACAAGTACTCCTTTTCTTTTTACTCACAACGAAGTCTTTGTGATTTTTTTTTTTTAAAAAATGAAAAAACAGAGCAATGGTTGGTACCAGTTCAAGTCTCTCAAATTTGCACTAAGAGTACAAGTTAGTAGAATGTGTTTTAGCGCTTTTACCAAGTATAAGATAATGGACCTGATTCTCCATTCTGTTAAGGCTCCTTTACACGGCTCTGGCGCATTTTTGCTCACTTATAGCAGTGTAAAGGAGCCTTTGGGTAACTGAGGCTGTATATGTGTAGCAAGATACAGTTAGTAAATAGTCAGTTCACTTAGTAAATATTCAGTTAAACAAATGATGTGCTAGAATGGTAAGCTCTTTGGGGCAGAGACTGTCTGGTTGCTCTGTGTTTATACAGCAGCTAGCACAGTGCAGTCCTGGTCCGTGTTTGGGGCTCTTAGGGGATACAGTGATACAAATGATAATATAATAAAGAAACAAAAGCCAGTGGAACAGTGTTGTTTCACAGAAAGAACTGTCCAGAGCAAGCTTAACCTCATAGAAACCTGGAGGGTGTTACAGTTGTATAATAAATAGTCATGCAACCAGATACAGAATTTACACATTGGTATTAAACTTCTGAGTCTATGTAATTTCTGATTGAATAAATTGGATTGCTGGCCTTGGGCATCAGGTCTGCCTAGGCAATATGTTCAGACTAGACTCAAAATAACAACTGTGACAGTCCTGGCTGAGCCCCCCTAGTGGATGGTCACCAGTCTGCTGCATCAGTCCCAACCTTTGGATCCCACATACTTTGAGGCCTACAGGGTCTGGGCAGTGTCCAGACACTGTTGCTAGGCCTGGTCTTCAAGGCACACTCCCAGAGTGCATACTCCCCATCTGGCACCCTCCTTGAGATGTGGGACCCTGCAGTTCAACTGCCCTAGGCCCTGAAACCAGTGCTGAACCCCCAAGCCTTCCCAGTCATTTATTCAGACTCCGCCCAGAGCTCTACCCCCATGGGCACGCTGGTGCATAGTTTAACTCCTTGTGAACACATGGCAGGTAAAGTAGGGAACACAGGCTTTGCACAGGAACTTCTTTAACGCACACACTTTACTCTCAGCACAGAAGCAATACTCCTGTAGGCAAATGTAGGCAAAACAACATCTTGAAGACACCCCTCCATCCCAAGTCCTTGTCATTCCTGAGTGTTGTTGGGATTTGGTCAGTTGGCATTGGCATTGGGGAAATGCCAGATCCTACTGCCCCCACTCCTCCAGCTATGTCATGTTTCTCAGGTTGGAATGACTCTCCTTGCTTGGAGAGCATGTCATTTTAAAAGCTGCATGTGAAGCCTTTTCTCTTTCTGCCCTTCCAGTGGGTATTTTCCATGCTCCAACCCCCACTGGAATTGCTGAGGCAGAGTCATTACAAGTCAGTGGTTGTGTCAGAGCAACCCCATTGTTCTGCCAGGGCTGACCTATTCAGTTGTCGATGGACCTGTTTCAGTCTCCCAGCCTTAGTCGGTTCCTGCCCCCAAAACAGAGGTTCTAATCCACACTGAAGGTTGCAATCATAATTGTTGTTCGGAAAACAGAAAAGAATTCATAAATTGATACAGTCACTGTGACAGGGAACAAAAGATTGTAGTGACTGTGCGGGTGATATTGGAAGTGAGTATGTAAAGAGAATGGGCCAAATGCTGTTCTCTTACTGATGTGAACTTTAAATTTAATCTGCTACCTGGGGATTCCTGATGTAGAGTTGGCATAGTAACTATATGTGACCCCAGCCCCAGCATTGAGGCTGGTAAGGCCAAGTGTGAGTCCTCTGCACTCTGGTGACCTCCAGTTGCTGGGATGATCCTTTGGGACAATGGCAGCCAGGTTTAATTTTGTGCAGCCTACAGGCTGCTTGAAATTATACTGGGGGTCAAACTGGCCCCCTGCCAGCCTTTGCCTAACCCATCCCCTTGGTACTGCACTGAGCTTGACTAGGCCAGGGGTTCTGGTCCATTATATTATATATTCCATGAATCCACAGACTGGAAGTTTTGTTGGTTTTACTTGCTGCTTCTTATGTTGTCTTCCTATCAAGATAAAAGTTATGTTTAGCTTCTATTAGCTGGAGCCTGATCTAAGCTTGTACCTGGTTTCATTGCCAACTTCTGCCTCTCACTGGGAGTTTTTAATACAAATTGAAGGCAGGATACAAAGCCCCAAAACATTATGGTCATAGCAAAAGATGGCCAACTGCATTCCCAATCAGTACTCCCCATAATTTACTATATCCTATTAACGATTGTAAATGTCCATATTTTACAGAACCCAACAGTTAAAGATTTGATTGGATTTGGCCTTCAAGTAGCAAAAGGTATGAAATACCTTGCAAGCAAAAAGTTTGTCCATAGAGATTTGGCTGCAAGAAATTGTATGTAAGTACAATAATCTAATTCCATGCCACATTATCACATTATTGTGGGGAGAGTAACCCTGTGGTAAATGTAAAGCTTCCTGGACTATATACTGCAGCAGAAATGTATTTTTATGTTATACTGATACTATTAAGCTCACATAAAAATGAGCTGCTTTAGCCTGCTAAAGATTTACGGTTACACATATGCATGTTTTGTGCAGGCAGAAGGAAAAGGAAAGGGAGGATGGCAGCTCTCAAGGTTGAGCTGCCAGAGAATTAAAAAGGACTCCTATGAGGGAATTTAAACTGCGTTGTCTCAACTTGCCTTTTTTAACGCTGTGCTTTCACCCAGGCTACTCATAAACTGCCTTTCTATGCTGCCTCACCTGGCAGTAAGGAGGTAAATGTGGTGAAACTTTGTGGAACACAAAATGGGGAAAACAAAGAAACAGTAACAATGAGACTGCTTGACAGTGGGTCTTTCATTGCACGGACTTGACATCATTTTGGCTTGATTCTGCACAAAAGGGCATGAAACAAAATTATGCAAAGAATCTTATTAGTGTCTGGGTGACCAGACAACTTAGTTCGCACAATGACTGACATAGTACTTGCCCATGTTATGCTGATTCATCACCTACAGTAGGAATTAATGTACTACAGTATTAATCATTGGAATTTACTTTTTGTACGTGTGAGGAAGTGGAGCCCTGGTAGCAAAAAGGTTATTCACCCTTGCTATATAATATTTTTAAATGTGGCTGCTGTGGAAAGCATCTCCTAATTCAGTTACTCTGCAGATCCAGGGATTTGTAATGAGTGAGGGGTTACATATTTTTCAGGCTTTTTATGAACAAAGGAATTGCCAGACTGGATCAGACCCAATGGTCCATCTACTACAGTGTTCTCTCTCTGGTGCCAGATACTTCAGAGGAATATACAAGAAACCCCACTTTCGGCAGATATGGGATAATTTGCCCGATGAAGGTCTCATCCCAATCACTAATAATTAGAGATTGGTTCAAGCACTGAGCATGGGGTTTAATGTCTCTTCCAATACTCCTTCTTTAGCATTATCTATTAGAATTCTTTGGATGTTTTTGTTATCCCTATAAATGTTCAATCCCTCTTTGAATCTTACTAGCAAGATCCCTCAATGATATCATGTGGCAATGAGTTCCACTGTCTAAGTAATCATGTGTTGTGTGAAAAATAATTTCTTTTGATCAGTTTTTAATTTGCCATGGTTCAGTTTTACCTTGTTCTTTATGAGGAAGAAAGAACAGAACTTCCTCTGTTACATGCATTAGTTTACATACTTCTATTTTGTTACCTCTTATAGGACTCCTTCTTAGGCAAACAATCTCAAGTTTACTCCAAAAATTTATTTTAGTTACAGTGTAAGGGCTAAAATGTCTCCCTTCATCCAGGTGGCTGGGTGTGGTACAGGATTGTCCTATTGGGGCTTGGGTGGAAACATCCTTCTTCCTCGGATGCAACATGGCTGTTACTGTCGCCTTGAGGTTGCACTAGTTACTGCCACTCATCCACCTCCATTTCACACAGGGTAATGGCCAGTGACTCTTCTCAGCAGCTGGTGGGTCCACCTTCACCCCAAATCCTTCCCTACCCCAAGCCCTGCTTTATGGATAACCTGGGAGCCCACATAGAGCTGGGTTTCACAGCACACAGGAAACATTAACCTCCTGTGTGGGCTCCCAAATGCTGCCTTCCCACCCAATAAAACCACAGCAATAATACTGTGTCTGGGACCTTCCAAAGCCAGGAAGGAAGGGGGAAGGATTTGCCCTACGGGCCTTTTTCCATCTAGTATTACTTATCTATTAAATAACAAAAATACACCAACCAATGGATCAGCTCTGTGTATTTCAATATGTACACCTAATACTGCCTTTGCTATGGACTATCATCAAATCTGAACAATTAGTGTGATAAAGAGGAGTTGTCTTGTCTAAACTATTAGTGAATGGGAAAGGTGGTATCTCAATATGAAAACTAGTAGATTTCCAGGTAGATGGAAGAAGAAGCAACTATATAAGAAATAATTCAGCATTCACTGTCTGGATGTACAGGGCAGTATTAGAGACCTTTTTTATGATACAACTGTTTTTAAAGAATTGTAATTTGAATGATCAGGGCAATAGCAGTAATATTTCTGAGTTCATTCAATTGTTAAATGGATATCACATGTCTTTTGTTTCAATTTAGCATGAGTTAATAGACGCAAGATAGAGTGCTGGCTTCAAAAGTTACGGTCTCAAACACACAAGTCACTTATTATAATTTAGAGAATATTCACAGTCATTGTAAATCCTGTCTGCTCAGCTACAGATAATAATTTTTGTCATTTTCATAGGCTGGATGAAAAATTCACTGTCAAGGTGGCTGATTTTGGTCTTGCTAGAGATGTCTATGATAAAGAATACTACAGTGTGCACAATAAAACAGGAGCTAAACTGCCAGTGAAATGGATGGCTTTAGAAAGTTTGCAAACTCAGAAGTTCACTACAAAATCAGATGTGGTAATGTACAGACTATCTATGTATATTTATATGTATCTCATTTAAAAACACCTCTAGAAATACCACCAAAGGCATCTTTATGGCATTTGATTAATGCACTAAGACTATATGTCCAAGCCAAGACTAGGGTGGAATCCTAATCTAGCTCACAAAAGAATATGAAATTGGTGTTATCCAAGTGCACAGGAGATATCTGTGCTCATCACAAAGCGACAGCAGTTTGGCATGTTTTGTCAGTTGCTGCTCAGGAAAGAAATGGAGGCCTAATCACAGTCCCAGTGAAACGGAGGATAAATCTGTCACTGAATTTACTGAGAGCAGGATTAGTTCCTAGGTCTGCAACTATAGAAAACACAAAGTTAGCTTTCACATTCTTAACAGATAACACCTCTTGAAGAGGCTTTATTTGCTTTATAAATACTTTGACCATTGCGACCAAACGTTACCTGGCTACATATGAAGAAAAAAAGTTAGTAGCTGAAGTCACTAGTTGGCTGCATCACTTTGTATTTTAGCCTAAATTCAATTCAGATTCAGATTAGTCTGATGTATAGAATTTCAGCCATTTGTATTCTCCAGTATGTATTTATATGGCATTAGCCCAGTCCTCAGCTGCTGTAAATTGACCTCAAAGGAGCTCTGCCAATTTCACCTTACTTAGTTCAGTTTCCCTCGTTCTAGTTTAAGTGGTTCCTCAATTCTTTGCAGCATTATAGGCTGCATGCAGTAAAATAGCTTGTTTCACAGGGAAAATGGATATGATCAAATCTGTCAGACCATATTCTACAAGTGGAGTTCAAAACCTTCTCTCCCCTGTGATTTACTATTGGTTTGTTTTATTAGTGGTCCTTTGGTGTGTTGTTGTGGGAACTTATGACAAGAGGAGCACCGCCCTACCCAGACGTGAATTCTTTTGATATAACTGTTTACTTGTTACAAGGAAGAAGGCTACTGCAACCGGAATACTGCCCTGATCCACTGTAAGTAAATAGATTGCAACATATCCTGCAAATGTTATTGATTCTGGGTTGTTGGGTTTATTTTACATATTTCATAGATGAGCACTTACTGTATTTTTATTTCAATGGCAGGTATGAAGTCATGCTAAAGTGTTGGCATCCAAAACCTGAAATGCGCCCAGCATTTTCTGAACTGGTTTCTAATATATCAACAATCTTCTCCACTTTTATCGGCGAGCATTATGTTCATGTCAGTGCTACATATGTCAATGTGAAATGCGTTGCTCCCTATCCTTCTCTTTTGTCATCACAAGATAACAGAGACAGGGATGTGGATACATGACCAGGTCTGTCTACAATACAATGCCAGAGAGAAATCCATTAGTAGTAGTATGAACAAAAGTAAATGTTTTGTCCACTACTTTTTCACTGCCCAGTTTTTGTGAAAACACTGTTGCACATGTTTGATGTTGTCCAAACTGCACTGTTGATGAGATATGTTGTTTATAGCTATGGGATTCTACACACTACAGTGGTAAATCCCAAATATTTGGGACGGCTGTATCTATTTACCAGACTACATCTACCACCATCTCGTGCTAATACCCACCAGCTCTCATTCATTTGTGAAATGAATGTGCTCACCATTTGCAGCCTGGGTTTTATTGTAGTTTACAGCATGTACAGCAGAATGAGGGGTGAGCAGCAGGGATGTACAGAGACTCATGATTAATGCAAAGAAGGGAAAAGCTAGACTACCAATCGCTCAAGCCTGATGTACCATTCCTGTTGCATGTGCTATTGGGCAATGGGCAGTGCAGTAACGGTTTTCACACAAAGACCAGGCCAGATAATGAGAATTCCAAAACTGTACAATGTCTCCTGTTGTATAAAGTAGACTCTACCTTTGTTCTTTGTTTGGCCATTATATCAATAAGGTTCCTTAGAGCCAGTCTCATGGCAAGTTTCTAAAATGATAGTCAACATTCCAAAATGCCATGAAATAAAATGAGTATGTCAGCTTTTGAGGAGCAGTATATTTATGCTGTACATAAAATGTAAGGGAACACACCCGGAAAAAAGCTATCTCAATGTTAATGTCACTATCATTCCAAACCTCAGTCGCTCCTTTGAGAAATAATTTGTATGTACAGATTTCTTACTGAAAATTGTGAGGCTTCTCTTCTGTCAATAAAGTGCTTTAATTGTTCCATGAGAGTAAAAATTTAAGGACTCCATATTAACCAGTAGGCTAAAGCCTATGATGCAGCAGTTTTGGAAGCACCATTTGGAGAGGTAGTCAAGTAAACAGTGGACCAGTAACAGTGCGAGGAGCCAAGTGACCCTGAGGAGCTGGTATGACCACATGTTTAGTAGCTGCAACTCTGCCAGCCAGCCACGCAAAGGAGCTGCAGCATAGTGCGTGTAAGGGGTTGAGAAGAGATGCTGAGCCAGCTGAGGAAAGCCAACAAGGCTGCAATGTGGTGGGATTGCTGCCATCCTTTGCATGCCAGTACTGAAGGATTAAGAAAATTGAACAAAAGAAGAAACATTTTTTTAGCACCCATAGTTGCTCCTTGAGTTAATCCAGCCCAGTGAGTTATGATACACAGTATATTCCTAAATCATGACCAGAAGTGATTTTCAAAAGAGATACTAATTAAAGTTTTTGTTATGTAGGGAAGAGTACTGTAGCTTTAGGGCAAGCATCATGTGTCATTTATGTTCCTGTGGAATTCTGTGCGTATTACTGTATAGCTTGTTTGGTGTAGGATATAACTGGTTGTTAGTTTAAACACTTAAAGTATTCTATTTTTATAAAAAAATGTTTATTTTTAATGACATATACCAGGTTTGGTCAGGCCACAAAATACTGCACTGTGAATGTTTCAGAAAATGTATGTCAACGTTGGAGTCATACATTGTAGTGAGGTTAAAAATGACTATGTAAATATTAAGGAGGAAAAGAACTAATTGATACTCCACCCTAACTATAATATAACCATTGCTGGAAGTCAAACACTTCAATATGTGCAAGGTGAGGTAGTGTTTAGAAAGGACCTGATTATGAGGAAGATTCATTGTTCTTGAGGAAGAGTGTTACAACGGAAAGGTTTCTAATGAGGGTGGGCAAACGACAAGCTGATAATACTGTATTGTATTACACCACCACTTTCATTTCAGATGCAAACATTTCATGTGTGCTAAGAGCACTACTAACTGTAAACTGCTAAAGGACAAAAGATTTTACTGCAGGAAAAAGAATCATCTCTACAGTCATTACAATGGCTAAGAAAGTTTATGACACAAAGATTTGGGGAGGATACTCCAAAGCCGTACATCCATGCTTGAGGAAGGCTGCAATGTGAAAAAAAAAACATTTTTACTATTTATGAATTTTGCTTAATATAGTTAATGTTGTGTCTGGGACACCTGTAAGAGTATATGATTCTGGTAAGGATTTGATGTTTGTCAATTCATGCATTTGCAAATGAGCTGAATGGTACTTATGGAGATAGTTGTTGGTGTGACCTAATAAAAGTTATTAAAATGAAGTATCGTAACATTCTGTGTGCTGATAATTCGTGGTACTACTATTTGTATTTGACTGTTAAGCTGACATAGGCCTTTATATTCCCTTCCACTAACATGAGCAGGGGGATCGGAAACTTGTGGAACTGGACTGAGGGAGCAGATGGGAGGGAACAGTTTAGACACACAAAAACATATGGATTGCCACAGTGGATCAGACAATGGTCCGTGTAGTCCAGTATCCGGTCCTGGCAATGGCCAGTACTGGCCAGATGTTTTAAAGTAAGGCACAAGATTCCCTATAATGGACAATTGTGGCACAGCCTGTCCATTAGTCTCTTCCAGACAGCAGGAATTTGGTGCTCAGCTTCCATTCTGGAGCAAGGTTTGTATCATTTTTACATTTTTGTTCTATTTAATGGAACTAGATTTCTCTAGACCTGAATCCTTCTAAGCTCCAGGTCTCAATCACAATTGGTGTCAGGGAGTGCCACAGGTAATTAGGCATGATTGTAGGTCGGGGGGAAGGATTTCCCCTGCTGCATTTCTCCTCCTCCCCACAGAAACGCTCCATCCCAAGTCAATGAGAGCTGTGGGAGGAGGGTGTCAACAGAGGGAGGGCCACATTAACACTACACTTCCTGGCATGCTCCTCTCTAAGCCAGGTGGCTATTTGAGTGGGAGTTAATTCTTCTCTAAGATGGATGGAATCAGCTGAAGTGTTGTCAGATGCACAAAGCAGAGAAACAAAGTGTTTGTCCTCTTAGATTTCTCCCAGTGACAGCAATCTCCAGGGTGACTGGGAGCATGGGCAGGAATGCAACATTCAGCGAATATTCAGGGAAGTGCCGTAGTCACTAATTCGGTGGCACTGATTCTGGATCTGATCTCACGTGTGCAGTGGTGAAAGTGCTAGTATGGATAAAGCACCAGTGGCTGCCAGCATTCTAACCACTCTGTTGTACAGACCAGACGCAACCGTGTCTGAGGTGCCAGGGGTCCCTTGGCCTGTCTATTCTGTATGGCGCACATGATATTAAAACACTGTGATTTAATTATTAACTAATTAGGCTGCTTTTACTGTTATTAACCAATTGTAGAATACTTGGTCATTCATTTTGCTGTGAGATTTTATATATCTATCTATATATAGATATAAATAAAATAGTAAATGAAACAATGAATTCACACGACTGTGGCTCGTTTGGATAATGTTGATCACTAATTCGGCCCCTGAACCACTGAGCTCTGAGTATCACAGCTGCAAAGGTTTTGCTGATACAGCTATATACTGTTATTTCTATACTGGCAAAGCCCCCGGTGGAGATGCAGCATATACTGGCCAAAGGAGTGCTTTGGCCAGTATAGTTAAACCATAAACCACCTTTCCAAAGGACATATGCTATACTAGACCCTTTTGCCTGTATAAGCTGTGTCTACATGGGGGGTTGCCACATAGCTGTTTCTCTTATTTTCCACACCCTTTACCAGCATAGTTATGCTGGCAAAACTATGTAGTGTAGACCTGGCCTAGATGATTTGCCTAAGTTTTAAATCCAAACCATTTTTTAGTTAACTAAGTGGGGTTAAAAATCAATGTCTAATTGGTTGAAAACAGCATTTTTGTGCTCTAACTCCGGAATAGCTGAAGAGTTTGTTTGGAGAAAATCTGACTTGTTGACTGAGGACAAGAATGAGCAACTTCAACCCCAAAGGTAATTTTGAAAAAAAAGTTATTGAAAATAAGGGCTTAGAATGAAAGTGCACTTTTGTTGTGTCATAAGCCCAATACACTAATAGTGTTGCCATTTTTAATATCCGTGAATTATTCTCCATTAGTACATCTTACATGTTGGGATTGAGGAGTGCGCTGGAAAAAGTCATCTAAAACTTCTCAATGAACCTGGAGATTTTACTGCAGTCAAAAATCAGTTGCAGTGTCATCAGTCTGTTGCATTACAACGTATAGCCGAATGACGTACTTAGCTGAAATACCAGATTTGTAATGCATTCCTCTGCTTCCTTCCCATGATTTGTTAAGACTTGAAGTTTGCTGCGCTGCTGAAAGGACATCAGAATCACAAGACTAACACTTGGTTATGTGCTCTAGTAACTTCCTTTATATAATGCACATAACATGGTGGGGCAGATCTTCAGCTGGCCTAAATTGGCATCGCTCCATTAAAGTTAATACTATCTATTGTTCTGGTACATTAGTGCAAAAGCTAACAAGAAAGCAGAATACTAAGATTTGAGAAATCAAGCCCACAAAAGCCAAGAGGTTAGAAATCAGGGGGAGAAATCCTGACCACACTGAAGTTTTGCCATTGACTTAAATGGTGCCAGGATTTCACCCATGTTTTTAATGTAATGTTTACTCAGCCCTTTTACACGGCTTTTATATTTTACAGTAGACACTTAATAAAATACAATAAAGTTTCTACTAAAACAAGGGAACCAGTGATACTTTACTACCACACTGAGCTGGCGAGGTGTTGCACACTAGTATTTCCCTCCCTCCCACTGGTATTCTTGCAGGTTTGTTATTGTTGAAATATTAATCTGATAATATCACTCTAATTGCCATATACAACTTAATTTATATAAGAATGTATGCCAACATTTCTGTTATAGTTTCCTGGATTATTAAGGCTGAGGAATCTCTTAAAACTGCTTCAAAAGGATTTAATCTATATGACAAATTCTACCCTCAGAAATCATATGAGTAACTCAGGGTGAAATTTGGCCCCAGCTCTGTAAATCAGGAAAAGATAAAATCATAGGTGTTCAAGGATGTAAACTATATGAGGAGAATGTGGCAAGAGACTGGGATGGAATTTGGACTTTGTGTGGTCTTGTATGTAACATAACATAAAAATAAATGAGAACCCCCTGAGAAGGAGTTTTGTGAAGTTTCTCTTTAGCGGCATAAACCTTGACCCTGCCACAGCCTTTCAGGGAAACTCTGTGGGACTAAAAGGTCATGTGGAATCAGGGAAAATTGTTGCACACTGGGCTACTGTGCCATGATCTGGCTTCAGTGATGTGTGAGGGATCTGTGTCTTCTTTGGTCTGAACACCCTATCAATTCCAGGATGGGAGGCAGCTCCCAACAGAATGATACACAGGAAACTTCATGAGTGGCATAACCTAGATAGGGAAGATTTGACCCTACATCTCTGCCTCCTTGAGACCAAGAGTAGAGCTAACGTGTCTGGTTATGGCAATTTGACAAGAGATTCAGATTTGCCCATTTTAATTACCAAGTACATTTGAACCACTCCTCAGAATAAATGAGATTTGAAAACGCTCCCCTACGGTGTAGTAAGTGCTACTGCCAAAAACTTTAGGGTGCAGGGCGTGTGCCAAAAGGAATGCTTTGTACACATTGACAGGGGGGCTTACTGGCTTATTAAGCCACAAAAAAGTACTTCAGGCTAGGGAGGTCTCTACTTGCTCATTGCACTTATGGCTCTAAAACTGAAGCACAATTTAAATAAGAAAGCTGAGTGGAAGTTTGTAATATTAGTATGGAGACTGTATGAACTTAATGGTAAATAGACGTGTACGTTATTATAAACCTATAGCCACTGACAGCAAAACTGGTCATAATGGAAGTCACATCAAGTTCCAGCAAACTGGTAGATGGTTTTCCAAAGCCTGGGACATTATTGTGATGCTTCCCAGGGGTATCTAGGGTTGTGAGGCACCTCACTACCACTTGCCCTTAGCGTGAGGAAGTCTGTGGGTCAGCTTCCAGACTCCACTAGCCTCTGGCAGCACAAGCCCTACCTTCCATGCCTCGCTCTGTGTCCAAGTTAGCAATAGGCACACACCAACTCCCAAGTCCTCCAAGCATCCCTCTTGGACGAGTGCTCACAGAACTCTCAGCTTCTCTACTCCCAAAGGAATAACACTCATCATCTTACTAGTTTCACCTCAGACTCACCACTGCACTTAACACACAGCACTTAGATATAGTGAAAACAAGAATAAAGTTTATGAAAGCAAATGATACTAACTCAGACTACTGAAAACAAGGATCCAGAGGAACAGCCGTGTTAGTCTGTATTCGCAAAAAGAAAAGGAGTACTTGTGGCACCTTAGAGACTAACCAATTTATTTGAGCATGAGCTTTCGTGAGCTACAGCTCACTTCATCAGATGTATACCGTGGAAACTGCAGCAGACTTTATATACACACAGAGAATATGAAACAATACCTCCTCCCACCCCACTGTCCTGCTGGTAATAGCTTATCTAAAGTGATCAACAGGTGGGCCATTTCCAGCACAAATCCAGGTTTTCTCACCCTCCACCCCCCCACACAAATTCACTCTCCTGCTGGTGCTAGCCCATCCAAAGTGACAACTCTTTACATAATCAAGTCGGGCTATTTCCTGCATAGATCCAGGTTTTCTCACATCCCCCCCACCCCCATACACACACAAACTCACTCTCCTGCTGGTAATAGCTCATCTAAACTGACCACTCTCCAAGTTTAAATCCAAGTTAAACCAGAACATCTGGGGGGGGGGGGGGGGTAGGAAAAAACAAGAGGAAACAGGCTACCTTGCATAATGACTTAGCCACTCCCAGTCTCTATTTAAGCCTAAATTAATAGTATCCAATTTGCAAATGAATTCCAATTCAGCAGTTTCTCGCTGGAGTCTGGATTTGAAGTTTTTTTGTTTTAAGATAGCGACCTTCATGTCTGTGATTGCGTGACCAGAGAGATTGAAGTGTTCTCCGACTGGTTTATGAATGTTATAATTCTTGACATCTGATTTGTGTCCATTTATTCTTTTACGTAGAGACTGTCCAGTTTGACCAATGTACATGGCAGAGGGGCATTGCTGGCACATGATGGCATATATCACATTGGTGGATGTGCAGGTGAACGAGCCTCTGATAGTGTGGCTGATGTTATTAGGCCCTGTGATGGTGTCCCCTGAATAGATATGTGGGCACAATTGGCAACGGGCTTTGTTGCAAGGATAAGTTCCTGGGTTAGTGGTTCTGTTGTGTGGTAT